TTTTGTGCAAAGCAATGATGACGGCACGTGTTTCCTTGCAGGTAACCACGGTTAACAGAGGAAGAACAATGATTTCAAGCACCATCCTCCTTTTAAAGCTTCCAGTCTGTTATTCTAACTCAATCAGCATGACAGAGTGATCTCCAGCCTTGTCCTCGTCAACACTCTCACCTGTGTTAACGAGAGAATCACTGACATGATGTCAGCTGGTCCTTTTGTGGCAGGGCTGAAATGCAGTGGAAATGTTTTTTGGGGATTAAGTTAATTTTCATGGCAAAGAGGGACTTTGCAATTATTTGCAATTCATCTGATCACTCTTCATGACATTCTGGAGTATATGCAAATTACCATCATAAAAACTGAAGCAGCAGACTTTGTGAAAATTAATATTTTTGTCATTCTCAAAACTTTTGACCACGACTGTATACATACATACATACATACATACAGTGAGGGAAAAAAGTATTTGATCCCCTGCTGGTTTTGTACGTTTGCCCACTAACAAAGACATGATCAGTCTATAATTTTAATGGTAGGTTTATTTGAACAGTGAGAGACAGAATAACAACAAAAAAATACAGAAAAACGCATGTCAAAAATGTTATAAATTGATTTGCATTTTAATGAGGGAAATAAGTATTTGACTCCTCTGCAAAACATGACTTAGTACTTGGTGGCAAAACCCTTGTTGGCAATCACAGAGGTCAGACGTTTCTTGTAGTTGGCCATCAGGTTTGCACACATCTCAGGAGGGATTTTGTCCCACTCCTCTTTGCAGATCTTCTCCAAGTCATTAAGGTTTCGAGGCTGACGTTTGGCAACTCGAATGTTCAGCTCCCTCCACAGATTTTCTATGGGATTAAGGTCTGGAGACTGGCCTGGCCACTCCAGGACCTTAATGTGCTTCTTCTTGAGCCACTCCTTTGTTGCCTTGGCCGTATGTTTTGGGTCATTGTCATGCTGGAATACCCATCCACGACCCATTTTCAATGTCCTGGTTGAGGGAAGGAGGTTATCACCCAAGATTTGACGGTACATGGCCCCGTCCATCGTCCATTTGATGCGGTGAAGTTGTCCTGTCCCCTTAGCAGAAAAACACCCCCAAAGCATAATGTTTCCACCTCCATGTTTGACGGTGGGGATGGTGTTCTTGGGGTCATAGGCAGCATTCCTCCTCCTCCAAACACGGCGAGTTGAGTTGATGCCAAAGAGCTCGATTTTGGTCTCATCTGACCACAACACTTTCACCCAGTTCTCCTCTGAATCATTCAGATGTTCATTGGCAAACTTCAGACGGCCCTGTATATGTGCTTTCTTGAGCAGGGGGACCTTGCGGGCGCTGCAGGATTTCAGTCCTTCACGGCGTAGTGTGTTACCAATTGTTTTCTTGGTGACTATTGTCCCAGCTGCCTTGAGATCATTGACAAGATCCTCCCGTGTAGTTCTGGGCTGATTCCTCACCGGTCTCTTGATCATTGCAAGTCCATGAGGTGAGATCTTGCATGGAGCCCCAGGCCGAGGGAGATTGACAGTTATTTTGTGTTTCTTCCATTTGAGAATAATCGCACCAACTGTTGTCACCTTCTCACCAAGCGGCTTGGCGATGGTCTTGTAGCCCATTCCAGCCGTGTGTAGGTCTACAATCTTGTCCCTGACATCCTTGGAGAGCTCTTTGGTCTTGGCCATGGTGGAGAATTTGGAATCGGATTGATTGATTGCTCCTAATCTCAGCTCGTTACCTGTATAAAAGACACCTGGTAGCCAGAAATCTTTCTGATTGAGAAAATCCATAAAATCACATTGTAGGATTTTTAATGAATTTATTTGCAAATTATGGTGGAAAATAAGTATTTGGTCAATAAAAAAAGTTTCTCAATACTTTGTTATATACCCTTTGTTGGCAATGACACAGGTCAAACGTTTTCTGTAAGTCTTCACAAGGTTTTCACACACTGCTACTGGTATTTTGGCCCATACCCATTCCTCCATTCCTCTAGAGCAGTGATGTTTTGGGGCTGTCGCTAGGCAACACGGACTTTCAACTCCCTCCAAAGATTTTCTATGGGGTTGAGATCTGGAGACTGGCTAGGTCACTCCAGGACCTTGAAATGCTTCTTACGAAGCCACTCCTTCGTTGCCCGGGCGGTGTGTTTGGGATCATTGTCATGCTGAAAGACCCAGCCACGTTTCATCTTCAATGCCCTTGCTGAAGGAAGGAGGTTTTCACTCAAAATCTCACGATACATGGCCCTATTCATTCTTTCCTTTACACGGATCAGTCGTCCTGGTCCCTTTGCAGAAAAACTGCCCCAAAGTATGATGTTTCCACCCCCATGCTTCACAGTAGGTATGGTGTTCTTTGGATGCAACTCAGCATTCTTTGTCCTCCAAACACGACGAGTTGAGTTTTTACCAAAAAGTTATATTTTGGTTTCATCTGACCATATGACATTCTCCCAATCCTCTTCTGGATCATCCAAATGCACTCTAGCAAACTTCAGACGGGCCTGGACATGTACTGGCTTAAGCAGGGGGACACGTCTGGCACTGCAGGATTTGAGTCCCTGGCGGCGTAGTGTGTTACTGATGGTAGGCTTTGTTACTTTGGTCCCAGCTCTCTGCAGGTCATTCACTAGGTCCCCCCGTGTGGTTCTGGGATTTTTGCTCACCGTTCTTGTGATCATTTTGACCCCACGGGGTGAGATCTTGCGTGGAGCCCCAGATCGAGGGAGATTATCAGTGGTCTTGTATGTCTTCCATTTCCTAATAATTGCTCCCACAGTTGATTTCTTCAAACCAAGCTGCTTACCTATTGCAGATTCAGTCTTCACAGCCTGGTGCAGGTCTACAATTTTGTTTCTGGTGTCCTTTGACAGCTCTTTGGTCTTGGCCATAGTGGAGTTTGGAGTGTGACTGTTTGAGGTTGTGGACAGGTGTCTTTTATACTGATAACAAGTTCAAACAGGTGCCATTAATACAGGTAACGAGTGGAGGACAGAGGAGCCTCTTAAAGAAGAAGTTACAGGTCTGTGAGAGCCAGAAATCTTGCTTGTTTGTAGGTGACCAAATACTTATTTCCCACCATAATTTGCAAATAAATTCATAAAAAATCCTACAATGGGATTTTTTCCCCACTGTACATATACATATATATATACACATACACACATACACATGCACATACACACACACACATATATATATATATATATATATATATATATATATATATATATATATATATATATATATACATACATACATACATACATACATACATACATACATACATACATACATACATACATACATACATACATACATACATACATACATACATACATACACACATACACAAAATGCAAATTAATTACTTAACAATCATATAATGTGATTTTCTGGATGTTTGTTTTAGATTCCGTCTCTCACAGTTGAAGTGTACCTATGACCTGCAAAATCAGCAGTGTATCAAATACTTGTTCTCCCCACTGTATACATATACACATACATACATACACATACAAAAAATATATATATATTTCCCTTTATTACTTTCCAACCCCACCACCCCTTCCCCAATTGGAGTAAACTAGTGAACAAAAATGCTTAGGCCTCTACTTCCAGCTTATACAAACTATATACATTTTATGGACACAGTCAATTTTACAATAATTCTATTTTGCTTGTTTTTACTCCTGAACTTCCTCTACCCTCAACCTCTCCGATCATTTTCATGATGTCCATCCGGTTCGCTTCTAAACCGAATAACTTCTGCACAAACTATCAGAAACCGTCTCAGGGAAGCTCATTTGCGTGTTCGTCGTCCTCACCAAGGTCTTGACCTGGCTGCAGTTCGGCGTCGTAACCAACTTCAGTGGGCAAATGCTCACCTTCGATAGCCACTGGCACGCTGGAGAAGTGTGCTCTTCGTGAACAGAGTGCCCCATGGTGATATGATATGGGCAGGCATAAGCAATGTACAATGAAAACAGTTGCATTTTATCGATGGCAATTTGAATGCACAGAGATACCGTGATGAGATCCTGAGGCCCATTGTTGTGCCATTCATCCGCCGCCATCACCTCATGTTTCAGCATGATAATGCACGGCCCCATGTAGCAAGGATCGGTACACAATTCCTGGAAGCTAAACATTTTCCAGTTCTTCCATGGCCTGCACACTCACCAGACATGTCACCCATTGAACATGTTTGGGATGTTCTGGATCGACGTGTACGACAGCATGTTCCAGTTCCCGCCAATGTCCAGTAACTTTGCACATCCATTGAAGAGGAGTGGGACAACATTCCACAGGCCACAATCAACAGCCTGATCAACTCTATGCGAAGGAGATGTGTCTCGCTGCATGAGGCAAATGGTGGTCACACCAGATACTGACTGGTTTTCGGATCCATGCTCCTACCAGTCAAGTGAAATCCATAGATTGACTGATTTCATTATATGAACTGTAACTCAATAAAATCTTTGAAATTGTTGCATGTTGCGTTTATATTTTTGTTCACTGTACAAATAAAGTGGAACAGTAAATATAACCATAAAAACTGACTAGCAGAACTACACAATAAAATGATATAATTGACCTTCATTTTCTAAAACTTTAAAACATGTGGAAAGGCATTGCTGAATAAAAGGTGTTTATTTGACCTGAGGAAATTGTGTACTAAATGTCTTTGTGAAAGATGGATGTTGACTCTTCTGTTGTGACTGAGAACACTGGTGGCTGAGTATGGAACCCTTATATTCTTGTGGGTGATGAGGACCTGAAATGATCTTGGTGCTAGACCAGCGTTGTGGGGTCATCTGATTTGAAAATGGAGTCGTGAGAGAAATAATCGCTCTTGGTTCATATCATTTTTTATGTCAAAATGGGGTCAAAGGCCAAAAAAGTTTGGAATCCCCTGTGCTAGACTCTTGACAACAGAATAACAATGAGGTCTGCCAAGGAATTTAACAAATTATCTGTTGTTTTGTTTTTCAGTGCTACCAAGTCACACATGTGGAAATCCAGGGTTGATACCTAAAGGAGTAATTCATGGAACAAGGTACAACATCGGAGACAAGATCCGTTACAGTTGTCTTATGGGATATATACTGGAGGGACATGCTGCACTCACTTGTATTGTGAGTCCTGGTACCGGCGCATCGTGGGACTTCCCAGCACCATTTTGTCGAGGTAAGACACAGTTTGTAGTGTATTTACATATTATGTCATATTAGTTTACAATACTGTTTGGAGCGTAAGACATTCCCATGACCATCATTTAGCTGCATTGATCCTAGATCATCATTTAGTGGTATTGATCCTAGATCATCATTTAGTTGTGTTGATCCTGGATCATCATTTAGTGGTATTGATCCTGGATCGTCATTTAGTTGTGTTGATCCTGGATCATCATTTAGTTGTGTTGATCCTGGAACATCATTTAGTGGTATTGATCCTGGATCGTCATTTAGTTGTGTTGATCCTGGATCATCATTTAGTGGTATTGATCCTGGATTGTCATTTAGTGGTATTGATCCTGGATCGTCATTTAGTTGTGTTGATCCTGGATCATCATTTAGTTGTGTTGATCCTGGATCCTCATTTAGTTGTGTTGATCCTGGATCATCATTTAGTTGTGTTGATCCTGGATCGTCATTTAGTGGTATTGATCCTGGATTGTCATTTAGTTGTGTTGATCCTGGATCGTCATTTAGTGGTATTGATCCTGGATTGTCATTTAGTGGTATTGATCCTGGATCGTCATTTAGTTGTGTTGATCCTGGATCATCATTTAGTTGTGTTGATCCTGGATCTTCATTTAGTTGTGTTGATCCTGGATCATCATTTAGTTGTGTTGATCCTGGATTGTCATTAAGCTGTGGTGATCCTGGATTATCCTTGAACCTGAAGTATCAAATCATAGGTTTTAGAGGTCTTAGGACGGTCACAAGACAATAGCTTTCAATGGCCACTGTTTTGGTTGTTAAACTTGCAACCTGCAACGGCAACCACATTTATTCTGTCAGGAGCAAGGCCAATCTTAGTTGCTGTCAAACCTTTATCTCTTACTAGTAAATATTTGTCCACTCAATAGGAGCTGGAACAATTGAGAGAGTCAGGACTCTTTTTTTATTTTCTAAGAGCAAGTTGTGACCCAGTCAGTAATGCAATTGTCTCTCACTTATTATCTTCATTTTAGCCGAAGGAGCTTGTGGTGGGACATTGAGGGGAACAACAGGGACGATATCAAGTCCACACTTCCCCTCAGAGTATGAGAATAATGCAGGCTGCACATGGAGTATTCTGGCTGAACCAGGGGACACCATCGCCCTGGTCTTCAGTGATTTCCAGCTGGAAGACAGATACGACTTCCTGGAGATAAGTGGGACTGAGGCACCATCAATATGGTAAGTAATTAACAAACACAATATAATTAAAGCACCTAATTCCTTGTATTCTAATGGTGGCAACTGTCATGGCATCACTGCTCTGCTAATTGCTAGAAAAGTAATTGATGGTGATTCACTCATATATGAAAACTATGTAAGTTAAAGTGTTATTGTGTTATACGGTTGATCCTAGTATGTCAATAACAGACCTTTATTTTCAATTGAGAGAATATGAAGATGAGTCACTAAAGTTGTACAGGACCTCACAACACTTTTGGAGAATAGATAATAATGTTTAAGTTTGTCCTGTCAAAAGCTAAAGTGTGACATTTCAGGACTTGAAACACTTCAAGAACCGGTCCATTTGAGAATTCCTTGACCAAATAATATTCAAGGCCTATTATCAACGGAATGCTACTGCAATGCAGAGCACTATAGCGTGTGTTCTGAGCAGAATGGGATGAAATATCTGTATTTAAACACATACACAGCCTGTGAAGACTTTTGAGACTGCCTGTGAAGACTGTTGATTAGGCTTCCATTTCTGTTAGGGAATTACATTTAAAAACAATGTGTCCATTTTAGGACATCCTCCTTCCAACGTCCTTCACACTAGTATGGAAAAGTCACCACCGATATGGAAAATCTGTATCGATGTCAGTTAAATTTTTTCAATACAATAGCGATATCATATTAGTTTCATGATAAAATGCTGGCAGTGGTGGCAGGTAGCCTAGCGGTTAGAGTGTTGGGCCAGTAACCGAAAGGTTGCTGGTTCGAATACCTAAGGCCGACTAGGTCAAAAATCTGTCAATGTGCCCTTGAGCAAGGCACTAAACCCTAATTTGCTCCAGGGGTGCCGTACTACTATGGCTGACTCTGTAAAACAACACTTTTCACTGCACCTTTCTGGTGTATGTGACAATAAAACATATTTTTTTATGAATAACTGCATTACTTCACCATCCCATGATACAGTGTGGTCTATAACTATTGGCACATTTGATAAAGATGTGCAAAAAAGACTAGATAGAATAAATAGTATTGTATGCTCCAAAAAATTGGGAAATTCTATTATTTTATACTAATACAATTGCTCAGAGAAAGACCCACAGGTTTTCAATGGGTTTCAAGTCCGGAGACTGAGGTGGCCATTGTACTTTTCTGCATATGCTTTGAAAATTATGTTAAATGTTTCTTTAGAATTTTTTTTTTTTTAAGGGATAGTTTTGCCATATTGAAACAAGAGTTCAGCTCACGGTATAGGGTTGACTTTAAAGCTGAGGGACAAATGTAAATGTATCACTAATCACATTAATGAAGTGAAAATCTTTAGAAATTACTTTCCCAAAGCAACAAAATAGCTAGGATGATGGTGAAAACGTGGGAAAGTCTAGGGGTTAAGTGGGTTAAAATAGTCAAAATGGGGATTTTCAGAGAACTTATTTTCATGAAAACACACTGCTATTGAAATTTTTAACATGCTTTAGATTAGTTACAGCATAGATGTATTTGAGCCAACTATTAAATGTAGTGTTTTATCAAAACTTAATGTGCTTCTTCTTGAGCCACTCCTTTGTTGCCTTGGCCGTGTGTTTTGGGTCATTGTCATGCTGGAATACCCATCCACGACCCATTTTCAATGCCCTGGCTGAGGGAAGGAGGTTCTCACCCAAGATTTGACGGTACATGGCCCCGTCCATCGTCCCTTTGATGCGGTGAAGTTGTCCTGTCCCCTTAGCAGAAAAACACCCCCAAAGCATAATGTTTCCACCTCCATGTTTGACAGTGGGGATGGTGTTCTTGGGGTCATAGGCAGCATTCCTCCTCCTCCAAACACGGCGAATTGAGTTGATGCCAAAGAGCTTGATTTTGGTCTCATCTGACCACAACACTTTCACCCAGTTCTCTTCTGAATCATTCAGATGTTCATTGGCAAACTTCAGACGGGCCTGTATATGTGCTTTCTTGAGCAGGGGGACCTTGCGGGCGCTGCAGGATTTCAGTCCTTCACGGCGTAGTGTGTTACCAATTGTTTTCTTGGTGACTATGGTCCCAGCTGCCTTGAGATCATTGACAAGATCCTCCCGTGTAGTTATGGGCTGATTCCTCACCGTTCTGATGATCATTGCAACTCCACGAGGTGAGATCTTGCATGGAGCCCCAGGCCGGGGGAGATTGACAGTTCTTTTGTGTTTCTTCCATTTGCGAATAATCGCACCAACTGTTGTCACCTTCTCACCAAGCTGCTTGGCGATGGTCTTGTAGCCCATTCCAGCCTTGTGTAGGTCCCTGACATCATTGGAGAGCTGTTTGGTCTTGGCCATGGTGGAGAGTTTTGAATCTGATTGATTGATTGCTTCTGTGGACAGGTGCCTTTTATACAGGTAACAAGCTGAGATTATGAGCACTCCCTTTAAGAGTGTGCTCCTAATCTCAGCTCATTACCTGTATAAAAGACACCTGGGAGCCAGAAATCTTTCTGATTGAGAGGGGGTCAAATACTTATTTCCCTCATTAAAATGCAAATCAATTTATAAAATTTTTGACATGCATTTTTCTGGATTTTTTTGTTGTTATTCTGTCGCTCACTGTTCAAATAAACCTACCATTAAAATTATAGACTGATCATTTCTTTGTCAGTGGGCAAACGTACAAAATCAGCAGGGGATCAAATACTTTTTTCCCTCACTGTATTTTCATGTCATCTTACCATAGCACCGCCTGGAGTCTGTTTGATAAACGGCATTGGCACTTGGATTGGAACTGGTGCTATGGTCAGATGACATGAAAATAGAGCTCTTTGGCCATGCACACCAGTGGTGGGTTGGCGTCGAAAAACAGCAGCATGTTTGCTTTCAGTATGTGTTGTGTTTGCACACAGCTGGGTGATCAATTACATCCAATGCAGTAAACAGTGTAATATAATTATGGCAAATCAATTTGTAGTTATGTCACATAACATTTACATTAAAGCAACCATCTCACAACCATTTCGCATCTGTATATATAGTTAGAATTCAATAAGGGGGGTTTCTCTCTCACATAGCTAAGTATACTGTAAGGATATATTAAGAACTACAGTGGCCAAGAGAGAATATTTTTTGGGGCCTGCCTGCAAATTCAATTAATAAACTCCAGCTCATCCAAAACAGAGAAATTGTGCACGAGTTGACAAATCATGAGGCAAATCGGTCTATAAAACAGCACTTTGCCCCTCTTTTTAACGCTTTGCATCAATATATTTTATTAAACAAAATCAAAAGTGAAAAGTGCTGTGGCAAATGCCGCCTCGCCACACGTTTTCCAGTGGCCCTGTCTATGCTGTAACTGATCTAAACCATATTAAAAATGTAATTATGCATTACAATTAGTTATTTGTTTTCTCTGAAAATCCCCATTTTCCCCAAGTCCCCAAGTCATGTTCGTCCAACTTCTAGGACTTTTCTAAACCCACTTAACCCCAATATTTTCTCACGTTTTCATCATCATTGTAAAGCCCTAGGTATTTTGTTGCTTTGGGAAAGTAATTTCTAAAGGTTTTTTACTTATTTAATGTGATTAGTGATTAATTTCCAGTTGTCCCTTAGCTTTAAGGTCAACTCTGTACCGTGAACTGAACTCTTGTTTTAAAATGTTAAAACTAACATTCAACATAATAGTCAAATCATAGTGTAAAAGCAGGTGAGCTAGTTCTACTCTTTTTGGCAATTTTCTGGTGTTTTGTGGTGGGCAACTGAGTGCTTCGAGCATAACACATCAACCCTGTTACCCATAGACAGATAGGCTAGAAATGCCAACCCTGTACAGTCAACCCTGTCACTTTAATTGTAACTAGTAATGTTTCTTTATTTAACCTCTTGAGATGGAAAACATGTTTGTTATGAAGTTGAAAACATGCTCTTTATGACAGAATGTTAAAATAAGTTGAAATAAATAGTTATTTCTGACAAAATTACACTACCCAAAAGGCACTCTGTTCATGGAATGACACACATACATGGAGTTGACAGGAGCTGCTTCTGTCTGAATTAATTAAACTCAGACAAATGAATACGATTATAGAATATTATATCTTGGTCACTGATACGTTGTTGACACAAGAGGTAAGGACTTGTGATTGATATACAAACAGACATGAAGGAATGAGACTTGGTGAACAAGATTGACAACTGACAGGTGATCAAATTCCTGTATTGATGCCTGATACATATCGTGCTCTTAGGGAGCTCCCTGGAAGGCTTTCCTGAAGCAATTTCCACCACATGATCCTGGCAGGCAGGTGCCTGACAAGCTGTCATGCCAGATTTTGTCACACTTCATAGCACAATAAATATGTTCATTTCATCATTGAACTCTCCAGCCAATGTCAAAATTATTTATTTAATTCATAAATGTGATACAAATTAAACCAATAATATTATAATTTGGTGGATGATTATATTTTTTTCCAATTTCACACATGTACAATTGTGTATTAATACACGTGTGAATTGGAATTATTATTATTTTTATATCCCAACTCTCCCTGAGACGCCGTCAGCACAAGGGATATTTTCGACTTGAGCTGTTAAAATCAATGTTGATGTCACCCAAATGGCATATTCGCTTCAAGAGGGTATTTTCAGAAGTTTCAAAAGCTTGCTTAAAGTGGAACTAACAGCATTTTAGCAACATTAAATCTTATAACAATCTGTTCATATACACCCCAAGGAAGAATATGACACTTTTATTTTTACATTTTCTGACTTGCGAGCACTTAGATATGGTCATTTTCACAGTTTCCTAAATTATTAGAATGTTTGGGAATTACGTATACTAAGTCATTTGTGAAAATTCTATATAAATACAGAGTGGGAAAGTGGCAGTGCATTTGGACAATTAATAGACACTGCAGTAAATAAAACCTAATGAAAACATCTGTCTCGTTCAAGACCGGAGTTACAGTTAGCCAATCAGAGCTACATTTGGCCTTTATGCAAACAAGCCATTTGCCACACAGGCCTGTCATCATTCACTTTGAACTGGACTGTGTTTTCACAGGCAGTTGCAACAGTGAGACTTTAGATCATTAGAACGCATTCGGCAAAAGCCACAAAATGCACCTGAATGGATTTCTGCAAATATGCAAATACCACGGGAGTTCTCTTGCATTTGGGAACTTTACAGTCCTATTGATCAAACAACAATAAAAAGGTAGGCTATCTTTCCCTATATGCACTTCAACAACAACAAGATCAACAACTAATGCTAGCCAGAGCATTATGAGCTAGAATCTAACGAAGGAACATTAGATAAACCCTCTCAAATTTTTTCAGCTAGTTGGCCATCAAAATTGCACTGATAAACGATGGGAAATTGTAGCCTGCTCGTCCTTCTGCAGCTTGCCTGCCAATGCATGCTTGTTCCAACCAAGCACCCAAGCTAACAGGCTAAAGTTGGCTAGCTTGTTAGCTAGCTACTTCCAAACACAAATGAGAGAACACCTCACTCTGACCATTTTACTCGCCCTAACATAACTGGTTAGGCTGTTTACATGTTGTCTAGAGCGTTCGTAACTAACTATGACCTTTTTTGCCTACATTTACTGACACCGGTCATATTCAGCATTCATAAATTCATCAGTTATTCTGCCCTCTGGCACACTCAGATAAGAGTGCTCTGAAATCGGGGTGGATAGCCAGAGTGAATTTGCGAATGCAAGAGATATGCTAACTGGATAACAGTCGTTGAAGTTCAGCATAGCTAGCTAGCTAGCTAGCTAGCAAAGCGATTCACATTTTTGTTGCTAGCTAACCAAATGACACCTGTATCTCTAGCTATGTAGCCACCGAAAAACGATTTGAGGGGGAAAAGTCAGTCACCCACCCACTCTTCCAATGAAATAACATCCTCCCAGCAGCTAGCTAGCTAGCTATCTAGCTAACGTTAGGCTCTGTGATTTTAGCTTGCTACCTAAATAGATACGCTAGCCTATTAGCCACGTTATGACTGACTTGTGACCATTGTCCTTGCTAGTTTGATTGTACTGACATTCCCAGCCTTAGTTACATTTGTCAGTTTTTGTCCAAAATATTGAGTCATTGAAACTTATACAGTGCATCCTGAATGGAGGCAGCAAACAATGTTTTTTAAAACCTATTTTTAAAACCTCTTATAAAGTTGGTTTTGTAGCATAAACTGGTATTTTATATTTTTGACTGATATTATGATTGTCTGTTTGTTTCATATCTGCAAAGTAGTTCAAACACTGTCAGTTCCACTTTAAATTACACAGCCCATAATACAGTATGTGTATCAATAGTGTCCATGAAGCATCATTAGTCACTTAGCAATGGATATGAAAGAGATGTGTCAAGTGCTTCCATGGCGACAAATTAGGTCACATCGCACCTTTTAACCAATTAAGTTCAGATTAGGATATGATCATCAGAAACATATTTGACAGAAGCTACAATGACCCAACTCCCTCTATGTATGGCTCTATTTGGCAGCTGTCATGCCAATCATGTTATTGTGAGAGGTTTTGAAGGTGATAGAGGTCTTATAAACTCTAAGGCAGAATAATAGATGTTGAATGCATTTGACACATTTCATGTGTGACAACGGATATTTTTGATTAATGTGTATGGACAGTAAGTTTTGCACAACCATTGTGAGGTACACTCTTAGAAAAAAAAAGGTCCTATCTAGAATCTAAAAGGGTTCTTCGGCTGTCCCCATAGAAGAACCCTCTGAAGAACCCTTTTTTCGAAGAGTGTAGTGTCCAACTGTTGAGAAAGTGTTGTGCCTTGAAGTGTGATCAAAGCGTTATTATAGTTCATCCTAGGGGATTTTGTCATATGACGATGTGTAGAATGTGCGTGGAAGGCTCTCCATTGTCTTCACATACTAGTAAAAGTCATCAGTGCAGATATGCTTGTCCTCATGACCTTTCAGACATTCTGTTCTCAAAGCTGAACTAATTATATAATACCTACTGCATAAAATAGAAACTCATTTTCTTTGAAGTTTTGCACCCACTTTGCTACTGTATTAATTAATCACATTGGTTTTTCTGAACATCATGATCTCATAACTACCACTACTCAATTAAATCATAAGGTTATAAAGCCATTATAAACTATTGCCCAACCCCCGCCCCCTTATAATGTAAAATAGATTGACAAACAAGGATTTACTTACAAGATAAAAGACAATTTTCTATCATTTTAGAATAGATAGATCACACATTTCATTCTTACAAAACCTCCCTTGCATTGGCTAGGATTGAAGGTCCAGCCGGAATTGGCACAGGACAGTGAGCAAATAGCAATTAATGCTGAGTGTTGTTTGGGTTTTCTCCATTTCTTTTTAACAGTGTTGCTCATTGGAGTGTGAAAACTAGGCTGAGAGGAAGAGGTAGTTTGAGCAGAAATAAGGCAAAAGGTCTTCCCAATACAAGGCACAAGGAAAAGGAGCAAGAATTAAAAGGAAATGTGCTGCTGTACTTGAAATAACCACTGTGTTTTTAGTACTGTTTGTGAAGATTTAAGAGTTGGCTAATCAACAGGTATTGGTTTCAGTTGCTGGGAGGCTATTGAAATAAACAGAGATTGAACTGGACTTGTGTAACTAAAATGCCTGAAGCGTTGGTGGAACAATCATGATGTGTCCATGGTCTGAGGTACTTTACCTAAATTGCTTCCCATAAAGACTTCATTATGATCAGGAAATACAGATAGCACAGCATGTCGGTAAAGATTGATTTGAATGATAACTGTACTGTCACCTCCCAAATTATTGGCACCCTTGATAAAGATTAGCTAAAAAGACTATCAAATAAATAATACAAATACCCAGCTATATTGTATGCTCAACAAATGTGAAAATTATATTATTTTATACTAATACAATTACTCAGAGAAATTGAAAATAAAATAAAACAACTAGACCCCAGATTTATAATGCATACTCCAGGGTTTTTCATACTCCAGGGTTCTTCATACTCCAGGGTTCTTCATACTCCAGGGTTCTTCATACTCCAGGGTTCTTCATACTCCAGGGTTCTTCATCCTCCAGGGTTCTTCATACTCCAGGCTCTGTCGCAGCCGGCCGCGACCGGGAGACTCATGGGCGGCGCACAATTGGCCCAGCGTCGTCCAGGGTAGGGGAGGGAATGGCCGGCAGGGATGTAGCTCAGTTGATAGAGCATGGTGTTTGCAACGCCAGGGTTGTGGGTTCGATTCCCACGGGGGGCCAGTATAAAAAAAATAATAATATGTATTCACTAACTGTAAGTCGCTCTGGATAAGAGCGTCTGCTAAATGACTAAAATGTAAAATGTAAATGTACTCCAGGGTTCTTCATACTCCAGGGTTCTTCATACTCCAGGGTTCTTCATCCTCCAGGGTTCTTCATCCTCCAATTTGAGCATCCATGCTTGCAAACACAAACCAGACACACAAAGTTCATGCACATGGTTGCACGCCGTGGGATATGCAATTAGCTTGTTGTTTTACCTTTCCTAAACCATTTAAACCAGCGGAATGGGGCAATATAGCCATTCTGAAAATATATCAAAATGTGTGATGATTACTCAAGGCATCTGTGAAGTAAATGGGCTAGAGCAGCAAAGTTAACCCTGCAAAATATAAAACAAACTGCTGTTGAATTGAGTATGGCATTGTATAACTCAGGCTAGAAACAATCAGGCTAGAGTAAACAATGCGTGTGATTTTACAACGAAAATGTTCTTATACAAAAAAAGAATAGTAGATTTAGATAGACAGAAGGTGCTCTTTGGTAAAAGGGGTAAATTGGTCATCAAAAGAAAAGAGGACCAAGGCCCTCTTCATATAATTAATTAAAATGCCTTTATTTGTATTTGTTTTTAAACTCTGTGTAATGATTCCTGAAGTCATGCAGTGCAGATGTTCCATTGTTACTAACAGCGGCCCATGTATTTCCTTTTGAGTGTCCTTTTGATGGAGGTGTTGGGTCACTTGGTTGAAATTAGAATCTTATTTTCTTCCAGGCTGACCGGTATGAATCTACCTTCCCCCGTCATCAGCAGCAAGAACTGGCTACGGCTGCATTTCACATCCGACAGCAACCATCGGCGGAAAGGATTTAGTGCCCAGTACCAAGGTAAGGGGTCAGTGTCAGAGGGCTGGGAGAGATCCCCTCCCATTGCAGGCAGTCGTCAGTGCACTTGGCAGTGAGTTCTTTTACCACATCACTTGGCATGCTCTGCCAGAGCTCAGCTAAACATGACATCTTGGCCTGGCCTGGATTCTGCCAGCACACGGTTCGCAGGTATATGCATAGCTAATTCTCTGGTTTCTTTTGACGAAGTTCAACAAGGCTTGAGGTCCTCCAGGCTTAGTCACTAAGTGTAGCCCAAGATACTTCTGACTAAAAGAGAGTTCGGAAACTAAACCCATTCTGCACATTATATTCCTATTATTTTGCATTTGTGTGTATTTTCCGGTAAAATTACAAAACTCCTTTTATTAATACCTGGCGAGGCGATGAAGTCATATTGGAGAGAGGATATCTCATACTGAACCTATTTCAGCTTTCTCAGGGTTTAATTAGCTTCCCTGCATGACATAATTACCAGATTAGATTGTATCCAAATCCAAATTGGCTCCGGCAGACACAAATGCAAACTGCCTGCTGGGAACTGAGCCCAATGGTGCTAGGTGACTGTGTGTCCACCACTATTCAAGCTGGCCCTCTGTTGCCCTGCACAACAAAGGACTCCTGTGCCTTGGATGTACTGATCCATAAAGACTAAATAGCACAGCCTCAATAAGGCTGGTTGACGTTTATTGGGATGAATCTTGTCCTGGAGGCAGAGCTGAGCAATTTCCACTAGATGGGCCAGCTGCAAAGTCAAAAATGGCTATATATCATAAAAAATCATGAAAACAAACATTTGCTTTTTTGGTCTTCATTTAAGGTTAGGGTTAGGTATAAGGTTATCAGTGCGGTTAAGTTTAGGGTCAGGTTTAAAATCTGATTTTATAACTTTGTGGCTGTGCCAGCTAGTGACGACCCTGCAGAGCTGCCTTCAGTACATGAGTCTTCCCAATAAATGCCAAACGGCCCCAATAAGAGCACAGAAGCCTGGGCACATTGGCACCACCCTGGCCCTTTGCATTCACCTGGAGGACAGCTTGACATCTCTGCTTGTGAACCCCAGCTTCAAAGGATTTTGGGGAGGCAGGGAGGGAGGGAGGGACAGAGAGAGAGAGGGGGAAGCTGCTTGCATATCAAGGAATCTCACAGAAGTGTTTGCACGTTGTGACACAGATTTTCTTTCAGCCTTTGCTCTTAGGGTGTTTTGCTAATTAATATAATACTAATATATAATATATGCTAATTACATAAATGGATTATAATATGCAGTATATTCTCTCTCCAACAGTGAAAAAGGCCATTGAACTGAAGTCCAGAGGGGTGAAAATGCTTCCAAGCAAAGACACAAACCACAAAAATGCTGTTTGTAAGTACTGTCTTATGCTCATGAGGTGCAGTTTTTACCCACATTACAGTTGTAATCATAAAATCAAGTATATCTTAAATAGTGTTGTCTTTCCCCAGGCAGTCCAAAACAGTCCAGAAATGTACAGTTACGATAAGCATTTTAAATTACGATAAGTATTTTAGGATGTGGTATTTAGTATTTTATTCGGATCCCCATTAGCTGTAGCTGAAGCAGCAGCTACAGAGTCAAACGAAGTAGGTTTTCTTACAAAGTTAAGTCAAACTGAGTGATTTTCTTCCTCCGGATCTCCACCTACATTGGACAAGCCCACTTTGTGTAATAATTCATGCCATCTGTATGGGTCCATTGATAGTTATATGATCAATGTAAATACAGTACCAGTCAAAAGTTTGGACACAGCTACTCATTCAAGGGTTTTTCTTTATTTTTACTATTTTTTACATTGTAGAATAATAGTAAAGACATCAAAACTATGAAATAACACATATGGAATCATGTAGTAACCAAAAAAGTGTTTTATATTTGAGATTCTTCAAATAGCTACCCTTTACCTTGATGACAGCTTTGCACAATCTTGGCATTCTCTCAACCAGCTTCACCTGGAATGCTTTTCCAACCGTCTTGAAGGAGTTCCCACATATGCTGAGCACTTGTTGGCTGCTTTTCCTTTACTCTGCCGTCCGACTCATCCCAAACCATCTCAATTGGGTTGAGGTCAGTGGATTGTGGAGGCCAGGTCATCTGATGCTGCACTCTATCACTTTCCTTCTTGGTCAAATAGCCCTTACACAGCCTGGAGGTGTGTTGGGTCATTGTCCTGTTGAAAAACAAATGATAGTCCCACTAAGTCCAAACCAGATGGGATGGCGTATCGCTGCAGAATGCTGTGGTACTCATGCTGGTTAATTCTAAATATATCACTGATAGTGTCACCAGCAAAGCAACCCCACACCATAACACCTCCTCCTCCATGCTTTACGGTGGGAAATACGCATGCGGAGATCGTCCATTCACCCACACCGCGTCTCATCAAGACACGGTGATTGGAACCAAAAATCTCAAATTTGGACCATTGCTTGTGTTTCTTGGCCCAAGCAGGTCTATTCTTCTTATCGGTGTCCTTTGGTAGTGGTTTCTTTGCAGCAATTCGACCATGAAGGCCTGATTCACACAGTCCCCTCTGAACAGTTGATGTTGAGATGTGTATGTTACTTGAACTCCGTGGAGCATTTATTTGGGCTGCAATTTCTGAGGCTGGTAACTCTAATGAACTTATCCTCTGCAGAGGTAGCTCTGGGTCTTCCATTCCTGTGGCGGTCCTCATGAGAGCCAGTTTCATCAAAGCGCTTGATGGTTTTTGCGACTGCACTTGAAGAAACTCTAAAAGTTCTTGAAATTTTCCGGCTTGACTGACCTTCAAGTCTTAAAGTAATGATGGACTGTCGTTTCTCTTTGCTTATTTGAGCTGTTCTTGCCATAATATGGACTTGGTCTTTTACTAAATAGGGCTATCTTCTGTATACCCCCCCCCACCTTGTCACAACACAACTGATTGGCTCAAATGCATTAAGATGGAAATAAATTCCACAAATTAACTTTTAAGAAGGCACACCTGTTAATTGAAATGCATTTGAGGTGACTACCTCATGAAGCAGGTTGAGAGAATGCCAAGACTGTGCAAAGCTGTCATCAAGGCAAAGGGTGGCTATTTGAAGAATCTCAAACTGGTAGTGTATGTGCATAATTCTATTGCACGATTGCTATTCATTACCCATGGGGTATACTACACATGGTTATATTTAAATGCCCCCTAACAGATTTTATCTGCCAGATTTATCATATACTAAATCCACTAAATCTACCCAGTCTGACGTATGCATGGTGTTCAGGTGGTTTCAGCTGTGTTGTGGCCCTGTGTAGCTCAATTGGTAGAGCATGGCACTTGCAACGCCAGGGTTGTGGGTTCGATTCCCACGGGGGGCCAGTATGAAAAAAAAAAAATGTATGCTCTCACTAACTGTAAAGTCGCTCTGGATAAGAGCTTCTGCTAAATGACTAAAATGTATGGATAAAGATGTAGGATCTTCATTTGAGCCAGTTTGCTACAGCAGGAAAATAATCCTGCAGCAACAGGAAATGTGAGTTATTATTATATTATTAATTAATGGACATTTTTGTAGGGGATTTTTCACAAGGGAAAATCACATCTGAAATTTAAAAGTGGGTGATCAAATTACAATCCTACATCTGTATGTATGTGCACATACAATATCTTTGACCTGACAAATAACCACCTTTGATCGAAACGCTGTAACAAGAAATACAGTTAATTTTTTTCATTCACACTGGCTGATGGCCCAAAATGCATTTAGAACCCAGCTAGTATCCAGGGAAGAAATGTCTCTATACAATTAAGGTCATAGTATTTTTTTAAATAAATAGTTTTTTAAGTGGTAATATGTTTGATTATAAGTTAGACATGAGTAGCTATCACACATAATTCTGTGCATAATTGATTATGATGATTTTCACACATCCAAATGTACACACATACCATAATCCAACTTGCAGTGTTTGCTTAGCGTTTAATGTTTGCACAATTTCCATAATGTGTTTTCCAAGAAGATGCCCTTGATGCAATCTATAATGGTATGGGGAAAACAACCCCTCTTTAACACCACATTGTATTAATAATTTGTTCCATGCTATGCTTCATAAAGCATGTTCTATTGCACTTAGTGTTACTAAATGGCTGACTTTGCAAAAGTGAGGCACCATTCCTAATCTGGAATTAGCATTTTAGGTACATTATATGGTGATATTAGATCCTGGATGGATAAACAAATAGCAATTATAAAAACACTATTGTGTGACGCTGGTGTAACCTTGTCAACTGAGCAACATAATGCAATGTATGAAAAAAGTCCTCTTTATATACTTGAATAGCATCAATAGGCTCAGGTAATTATTAAGTTTGTAACTCTTAACTGCCATTAAAGCTTTCTAAATTCTGCAAAGGCAGAATTGATGTGGTCATTCATACACAGGAATATGCATATTATCACCATCGCCAGACACTTTTAGATGAGGGATTAAGCTCAGGTCCTGACTCACTGCGGTCATTAAAGATCCCATGGTGCTCATTTAAGGAGCAGAGGTGTAAAATCATGCACTCTGGCCAAACCCCGGATGTATAGCCAGCCTACTCGTAATGTCCTCCAAGACATCTAATTACTGCAGCTACATTTCAGTTGGACAGAATTATTCTCATCTTCATTGAAATGGCAGATTTTTTGTTAATTTTGCTGATGGCAGGAAAGATGTCTGACATCGATCACCAAGGTCGCTTCACATGTTTCACTGGATTAAAATTCCAACCACCTACACAGTGTGGAGCCTGTGTTTGCCATCAAAGGGGTTTCCCCATTGGACCAAGAATGAATTGATACTGATCCAAACTGGCTGCCCACCTCTGTCAATTGGTTGCTAGCTGTTTTAAACTAGACTAGATCCAATGTTTAGGATAACAAGATAATATAGAAGATAAATAAAAATAAATGCTTCCACAGTTTATTGCAGCATTTCGACCAGAAGGTCTTTGTCAGGTTGAAGTTGAAGTCCTGACGAAGACCCTCTGGTCGAAACCTTGCAATTAACAGCGGGAGAATACAATAATGTGTGTGGGCATTCATTACCCTTTCTTTTGATGGTCTGCACATCCTGATCAAAAGAAGCACCTCTACCTGCACACGTTTAGCAGATTGATTGCATGTGGGATGAAAGAGTTCTTTGTTCTATTGTGATTAACATTGGGTAGTATAAACATTCAGGCCTGAATGAAGAAGTTTGGTATTCAAGCTACATTGGTCACTATCTTTACCTATAACATGCTAGATACTGTAGTAGATATTGTAGATACTGTAGAATATACTGTAGAATATACTGTAGTAGATACTGTAGTAGATACTGTAGTAGACACTGTAGATACTGTAGAAGATACTGTACATACTGTAGTAGATACTGTAGAAGATACTGTAGATACTGTAGAAGATACTTAAGATACTCTAGTAGATACTGTAGTAAATACTGTAGAAGATACTGTAGAAGATACTGTAGTAGACAATGTAGATACTATAGAATATACTGTAGATAATGTAGTAGATACAATAGATACTGTAGAAACTGTAGTAGACACTGTAGATACTATAGAATATACTGTAGATACTGTAGTACATACTGTAGTACATACATGTAGATACTGTATACTGTAGTAGATACTGTAGATACTGTAGTAGATACTGTAGAAGATACTGTCAATTATGTATAAGATACTGTAGATAATGTAGTAGATACTGTAGTATATACTGTAAAACATACTTAAGATACTGTAGTAGATACTGTAGTAGCTACTGTAGAAGATACTGTAGATACTGTAGTAGATACTGTAGAATATACTGTAGTATATATTGTAGTAGATACTGTAGTAGATACAGTAGAAACTGTAGATACTGTAGTAGATACTGTAGAATATACTGTAGTATATATTGTAGTAGATACTGTAGTAGATACAGTAGAAACTGTAGATACTGTAGTAGATACTGTAGTAGATACTCTAGATACTGTAGTATATACTGTAGTAGATACTGTAGATACTGTTGTAGACACTATAGATACTGTAGTATATACTGTAGATACTGTAGAATATACTGTAGATACTGTAGAATAGACTGTAGATACTGGAGAAGATACTGTAGTAGATCCTGTAGTAGATACAGTAGATACTGTAGTAGATACTCTAGATACTGTAGTATATACTGTAGTAGATACTGTAGATACTGTTGTAGACACTATAGATACTGTAGTAGATACTGTAGATACTGTAGAAGATGCTGTGGATACTGTAGAATAGACTGTAAATACTGTATTAGGTCCTGGAGTAGATACTGTAGTAGATATTGAAGTAGAAACTGTAGAAGATACTGTAGATACTGTAGATACTGTAGAAGATACTGTAGTAGATACTGTAGATACTGTAGAAGATACTGTAGTAGATACTGTAGATACTGTAGAATATACTGTAGTAGATACTGTAGATACTGTAGAAGACACTGTCGTAGATACTGTAGAAGGTACTGTAGATAATATAGTAGATACTGTAGTAGATACTGTAGAAGATACTTAAGATACTGTAGTAGATACTTTAGTAGATACTGTAGAATATACTGTAGATACTTTAGAATATACTGTAGATACTGTAGTACATACTGTAGATACTATAGTAGAGACTGTAGAATATACTGTAGTAGATACTGTAGTAGATACTGTAGTAGATACAGTAAATACTGTAGATACTGTAGAATATACTGTAGTAGAAACAGGAAATAATGTAGATACTGTAGTAGACACTGTAGATACTGTAGAAGACACTGTAGATATTGTAGTAGATACAGTAGAAACTGTAGATACTGTAGTAGATACTGTAGATACTGTAGTATATACTGTAGTAGATACTGTAGATACGTTGTAGTAGATACTGTAGTAGATACTATAGATACTGTAGAAGATACTGTAGATACTGTAGTAGATACTGTAGATACTGTAGAAGATGCTGTGGATACTGTAGAATATAATGTAGATACTGTAGTAGATCCTGTAGTAAATACAGTAGATACTGTAGTAGACACTGTAGATACTGTAGTATATACTGTAGATAATGTAGTAGACACTGTAGATACTGTAGTAGATACTGTATAAACTGTAGAAGATAATGTATATACTGTAGATACTGTAGGATATACTGTCAATATTGTAGTAGATCCTGGAGTAGAGACTGTAGTAGATATTGTAGTAGATACTGTAGAAGATACTGTAGATAATGTGGAAGATACTGTAGATACTGTAGAATATACTGTCATAGATACTGTAGAAGATACTTTAAATACTGTAGAAGATACTGTAGAAGATACTGTAGAAGATACTGTAGATACTGTAGAAAATACTGTAGATACTGTAGTAGATACTTTAGTAGGTGAATCTTTCTGAGAGCTGTCTGTTGTATCATGATGACCTTACTGAATACCATCACAAGCATATTCAGTCTGTTCCAAGTATTGGGGTTTACTTCAAATTCCCAAACTAGGCAGCCATGGAAAAGGTTAAAACAGATGAACAAATCTATAAAATATAGTCACTGTAGTTATATTTATAATGAAATAATTCTCAGAAAATAAAATGATTTTACAAATTGGTATCTGTATGTGCAGCAAAGTTCAGTTTGTTATCGGTGACAGTACCCACATTTTTATCTTAAAGAAGTCAATCCGGGGATCTTGAATGATAGTAGTCCAGCGGCCGTTGGTGGAGTGGAAAGTTTACCTTTCGCAGCAGAAGTGAGCTATGTGGTCCTCATCATTGATTATAACAGTAGTCTAGAGAAGTCGAAGTGGGGAGGCTGTGAGAGGAGTGGATACTTTGTTGTAGTTCTCCCTGCTATAAATTATCTGCTAAAAAACACGCTGACCAACAAAATATCTTTATTAACTTGAGAAATAAAACTAGGATGAAAGTAAAGTCATGACCCTTTGAATTTTCAAACCATAGTCCTAACACAGAAAAGTGGAGTAAGATTATCATTGGGCAGAACAGGAAACAGAAATGGTGGTGCAAAAACCACATCAGTAAGCTGGACAAAAGCTTTGATTGCATGGTGTAACTTTTTAAACTAATATCAGGATTCACAGGAGGTGACATATGAAGACAACATCAAACAGAAAGACATGACAGTTGATCAAAAGGGATAGCAATGGCTGTCCATAGCGCTCTCTCCATCAACACATTCTCTGACCTTGGCTTGAAATGAACATTTTAGCATTATTATTACACTGGGTTTCATGGAATACGGTTAATACATTCTCAAATACACTATACAGATGTAGGATCTTAATTTGACACTATTATAGTATATTCAAGGTTTAAAAGGGCTTCTAAAGTTTGTAATTTCCACTTTAAAATGTCAGACTTGATTTGCCCTAACAGAAAATGTATCAACCCCAACAAAAAATGACCATAATAATTCACATTTCCTGTTGCTGCAGGATTATTTTCCTGCTGTGGCATACTGGTTCAAATTATAATCCTACATTTGTACGTTTCCTCCAATATACGATTTCTCACATGTAGCATGTTGATCTTTCATAGAAAGTAATGGTCACTTAAACCAATACCACACTGTACATTGAGAGTTCACTCATAAAAATGGTTTACAGTATGAAAGGATTCTGTAGTCTGTGATTACTGTGTAGTACATCAAAAGGAATGGATGGAAAAAGGGGCACTTTTCTTTTTCACAATGCCTTTTGCACCAGCTTTTTGTGACCGAGTTACAGTTATGTGTAAGTTGACCTAATGTGGTTCTGGGGCAGTAAATAAACTGAGGTTATGTGACAGAATGATGCAGAAATGAAGGTGAGAACACAGACACACACTGGCACAGGAATGGTGGAAGAGGATATGTTATGAAGCATGACCTTTTCACGGTTTGTTTTCGTTGTATTGCCACGAGCAGTGAATCATTAAAGCTCCTGTCATCACAAGGTGGAAATACATATTTCATATCTGAATGCAACCCATACAAATGTTATGATGAAACATTTACTTGTACAGGCTGTTTTAGTTCTATAGCTGTTGACCCACCTGTTCAGATATTTCTCTTTAAGCAAAGCTTATTAACAAGTTCAATATAAAAATGGATTGTTCTTTTGATAAATGCACCTATCCAACTGTTGTTCTGTAAATTGTATGACCATTTTCTTACCTTCTTACGTAAATGTGCTATTGTGCATATGCTAACATACACTGAGTGTACAAAACGTGAAGAACACCTTCCTAATATTGAGTTGCACCCCATTTTGCCCTCAAAAAAGCCTCAGTTCGTTGAGGGCATGGGCTCTACAAGGTGTCGAAAGCGTTCCACAGGGATGCTGGCCCATGTTGACTCCAATGCTTCCCACAGTTGTGTCAAGTTGGCTGGATGTCCTTTGGGTGGTGGACCATTCTTGATACACACAGGAAACTGTTGAGCGTGAAAAACCCAGCAGCGTTGTAGTTCTTCACACTCTCAAACCGGTGCATCTGGCACCTAATACCATACCCCGTTCAAAGGCACTTAAATATTTTGTCTTGCCCATTCACTCTCTGAATGGCACACATACACAATCCATGTCTCAAGTGTCTCAAGGTTTAAAAATCCTTCTTTAACATGTCTCCTCCCCTTCATCTACACTGATCGAAGTGGATTTAACAGGTGACATCAATAAGGGATCATAGCTTTCACCTGGTCAGTCTGTCATGTTCCTAATGTTTTGTACACTCAGTGTATGTTAACATTAAGCAATGTGTATTATATTGCAGGATAGAATACACTAAAAGTTGTGTCCAGGGTATTGTCCAGGACAATTAGATGCAAGATTATTTTTTTGTAATGTTTTTATTCAACCTTTATTTAACCAGGAAAAGACCCTTGAGGTTAAGAACCGCTTTTGTGAGGGGGATTAGGTGTAATGATTTGTTTCAGTCTGTGTTGTGGCCATTAGAGACTTTTAACTTCTTCCTTCACATTAATGTTTTCAGTGCAACAGCGCACAATGATCAATGCAATTTCCATTCTGAAAGCCATTATTAAACCAAATTGTCTCCCAAAGTTTTCATTGATAATTTTACTGCCAATGATCTAAATATGCAGAAACTTTAAGTGGATTCATCTTTGTATTCATTCATGGCTTCTGAATTAATGGCAGCGATAGAGGAATCATTTTCTTTCATTGAGACTAATGACGCGTGATCTTGTTAGAACATGAAATGAGGATGAATTGCTCTAATCCCCTGATTGTGAGAGTGCTGTTTGTCACCATTGTCTCTTGCTTCTGTCCCTGTGTTTCTACTATAATACCTTTCCGATTCTTGTCAGCACTTGTTATGGCGCATCAATATGGGCCTTTGTTAAAAGTCTCAGAGCCTCTGTATAATCCCATAGCAAACTCTTAACCTTTTTTCTAACCATCAGTGTGTATATTTTGTACTGTCAATGAATCAACTAGTCATGAAAACTGTACAATCAAGCTTATCACATTACTTAGATTATTAGATAAAAATAAATAAAACATTTGACTTACACGTACTATACAGTGCACTTGAGTTGCACCACTTTCATGGTATTCCTCTATGATATCTGTCACTAGTAATTGAATAGGTTTGGTACCTCTTTTCTCACCACTCTGTATTCCACCTTTATCCTCTTTCTGTAGTGAGCCAAGGGGGCATGGCAGCAGACATTTGTCCAGATCCTGGGATTCCAGAGAATGGGAAGAGGATGGGCTCAGACTTTCAGTGGGTTCCTTTGCGTCACTCTTATCAGGTTTGGCCTCAGTGAAATGGGAACTGTGTGGAACAGCTTTAATCAAGGCGAGCCCTGCTGTGTGGAATAGGCCTTTTTAAACCCCCACTGCTATGCCATCACCAGTAGTGACTGAAATTACACCCGCACAATAGGTGATAAGACCCTCTTAGAGAAGATGCCTTAATTCAACAAGGGTCATTACTGGTTTGTTAAGGAGGCAGATGTACTTATCACCATAAAACATTTAAAACATTTGAGAAATTGAGGGAACTTGTACACAGACCAAAAAAAGTTACATTTGGTTGTTTGGAACACATCATAGCAATCTACTGGTGTAAAGAGAAAACGTTTTATCCCATGTTGCTTGTTGCAGATTTGACAGAAGGAAGTCTGTCACAGGCATAGAGGAGTTAGTAGTTGATGCCGTGCTCTGTGCGGCATGTCGGTCACTGACGGTAATTTGTTTCTCCAACTCCCACAGGGTCGGAGCCAGTATCCAGTTTTCCTGTGATGACAGCTATGTGCTTCAGGGATCAAAGAGCATCACTTGCCAGAGAGTGACAGAGACGCTGGCCGCCTGGAGTGACCACAGGCCTATCTGTCGCAGTAAGTGTGAACCCAGGCAGGCTCTTTTCCCATCCCAACACTTTCTGTAGGTACAGATATGCTCTCTTAATTTGATCACCCTGTGTGGCAGAGCATTTGGAAATCCAAACTTGTAGTGTATTCAATGTTTAATAAGGCTTCTAAAGTTTGAATTTCCACTTAAACATTTCACATAATAATTCATATTTCCTGTTGCTGCAGGATTATTTTCCTGCTTTGAGAAACCAGTCAAATTAAGATGTACAATGTCACATCTCGTTAAGGGAGATGGGACACACACACCAATGATAAGGAGGGTGTGAGGTGTTTAATGGTGAGGCACGACAGTACAGAGATTAATGCATTTTGAGGATTTAACTGTTACCTACTACCCAGGTCAATTACTTGAATGTTCTCTATTCCTCATATTACCATGGTTTTAGCTGGAATTTACAAAGGCTATTCAAGATTCAATCCCCTTGATTTAAAAGCATTGAATCGTCTTATTTATGTCTTTATTGAGACGTGTAGTTGTTAGCCATCTGTGAGAAGCAGTAACTCCAAAACTATTATGACTGCATGGTTAACTTTTGCTAGCACATACTGTGTACAAAAACAGAAACATTTGTTTACTTTTCATATTTTTGCTAAATGCACTATTTATCAATAATGCCTATCCATTTAGATTTAGGGACGCATTACATGTTTTTTAGGGAAGCATGACATGTTTTTTAGGGAAGCATGACATGTTTTTTAGGGAAGCATGACATGTTTTTTAGGGAAGCATGACATGTTTTTTAGGGAAGCATGCATGACATGTTTTTTATTTTGTTTCACAGGAGATTTAAAGCAATCCATATAGGTTAGGTTAAGTGCTAGCAAACTGTAAATTATACCCACACAGTTGTGGCTATACTGATGGTAACTGATGATCGCCTCACAGTTATATTATTGGTGTGTACAGGCAGCTAATGTCCACTTGAGGTGAGATCTGCAGAGGTCTAACTTTCAAAGCCATAGAGGACACAGGCCTCCAGATGACATTAATCAAAATGAAATGAGGCAGTATGTCAGCCTTCCAGAAGGAAAGAGTAACCATGTTTGACAATTTCTTAGCACCATTCCTGGGGAGTACTGATCGATCCAGACACTTTTTGTCACAGCGTCGCCCAGTAAACCCTTTAAGAATAACACTCTACTACCCCCTCGCCCCCAGACCTCTCTCCACCATCACCCCTTCCATGCGGAGCTAAGTAACAGGTAGAAGCCATTAAATGTGAAGTTAAAAAGCCTCCAGAGATCCACTGCTGCTCTTTACTCTCCCGGATGGGCATGATCCCAGGTGATTATTTAGAGTTAATTATAGAATGTTTTTCCGACCTGTAAATTAAGGATGTGCTCGTTTAGGAGTTTTTTCTACCAACTTCAGAACCCTCTGACTTTTCGATAATTAACAGGCGCACAGCGTAGTCATCAGAGATTTCATAATTAATCATTTTAAGTCATTGTCCCCTGTAGCTCAGTTGGTAGAGCATGGCGCTTGCAACGCCAGGGTTGTGGGTTCGTTTCCCACGGGGGGCCAGTATGAAAATGTATGTACTCACTAACTGTAAGTCGCTCTGGATAAGAGCGTCTGCTAAATGACTAAAATGTAAATTGTAACCAGACAAAGGGTGATGTCAGACTGCTTCTTCACCTCTTGATGATTTCACTCACCAATCTTCAGGATAAACGTTAAGTAATGAGTAAGTAAACGTTGAGTAATTAGGTGCAGTAACCCAAAGGTTGCTGGTTCGAATCCCCGAGCCGGAAACCTGGAAAAATCTTCGGTTCTGCCCCTGAGCAAGGCAGTTAACCCCCAACAACAACCACTCCCGGGCACCGATGACGTCGATTAAGGCAGCCCCCCACACCTCTCTGATTCAGAGGGGTTGGGTTAAATGCGGAAGATACATTTCGGTTGAATGCATTCAGTTGTGCAACTGACTAGGTATTCCCTTCCAATGTAGCATTCACTTATTTTATTATGATAAATGTATTTGTATTTTATTTCAACAGCGAGAACGTGTGGTTCTAATTCAAGAGGACCAAAGGGCTTCATCACCTCTCCTAATTACCCTGTTCAGTACGACAACAATGCCCACTGTGTTTGGGTCATAACAGCACTGGACAATAGGAAGGTGAGTCACATTTCTTTCTTTCTTTCTTTCTTTCTTTCTTTCTTTCTTTCTTTCTTTCTTTCTTTCTTTCTTTCTTTCTTTCTTTCTTTCTTTCTTTCTTTCTTTCTTTCTTTCTTTCTTTCTTTCTTTCTTTCTTTCTATCACATAAACACAGTGAGTTATCAACATGCATAGCCTTGCTAATGAGTCTCTCTGAAAGGTGACTGGTTCAACTTCAATCATTTAACACAGTTTGTGTTGTATTTTGCAAGTTGATTATAAAGGCTATGTCAAAATCACAATTTCGGATGTAGTCAGAGATGTTTTCGCTCCAAATGAAGGGAAATATATTGTATTGTGACAGTGAACCAATAGGACATCTAATGAAAGGGGGATCCAAGCACATAATTATCATTATGTTACGGTATTAATGCAATGCCATTGTGTTCATTGGCATACAAGTGGTATTAGAATCACTAAATTAGCATAACAAATACAAGGGGGAAATTAGCAGAAAACAAGCTTATTTTGTAAAGAGGGTCCACTTAAAACGACTGAATTACTGGTTTCTACTTGTCTTTTATATCCCTTGTGCCACGTAGGGGTCAGAGCACTAAAGATAAAACAAACAGTAGTTAATATCTCCTGCTGTAAATTATGGATAGTTCAAGAAGGAGTGCCTTAAAGGAAATGGAATGCTTCAAAAGGATTAGAAATGAATAATTAGTCACTTGGCTGTAAATTGCTGCATCTCTGATGCATATGAATTTCTGTATGTGACCACCAGTATTTGTTATGTTGCCGTTGACACTGTCCACTCAAAACCAAAACTCCCTATGAACATAATTGATGGGACTTCACCTTCTTGGTGCAGCCACAGAACAGCACTCGGGCAAATTAAGTCAAGCTAGAAATGACTTTGAACAGCATTCTCAAACTACTTTGTAAAGTGTCTCACCCAGGTATTCAGCATGCCCAATTCAGAAACAAACCTGATAAGAATGGATGTATCTTGCACATACTACTGTACATGTTCATTAGAGATTTACGTTGGATTTATTAAGTGAGTTCAAATGTACCAATCTGTCTGCCGTGCAAATTGATAAGTTTGTTCCTTTCCTTAAACCTATTCTCAACAAATTTAGCAAATTGTATAGTGTAGAATTATCTGAAAGTTGTCCATGTTTTGTAATTAAATTACTGTTCTGAAATATATTTTTACCTGTAATTATTACAAGAGGCAAGTGCCATTTTTAACTTGCTGTGGAAGTCAAGTGTTCATGGTTTCCTTATTTGTGGAATGTCATCATTGAAACATATGAACATTTATCTTGGTGGAAAACATGGGTTTTGACTTGGGTTTTAAAACATTGGAAAAGAGACTCGAAGATTGCAGAGATCCCAGAGTCTCTTGGGACAGTGAGCTGACAGTTGTTCTTTTTTCTTGCTACCTTGTTTATACTTATTGAAACACACCGGAGACGTTTTTAGAAAAGTCACCCGACACAGTACCTGTCAGGGAATATTCAATTTTGGAAATTGCACCTTAAACGATTTTGTTCATGTCTGGAGTAATTTTGGATTCATTTTGTTACCACATTCAGTGGACACAATAATTTGAATGAATGTTTTGACTCACAATTTGACTTGTTATGCTCGGACCTGAGCTGTGTATTTCAGCATCACCTCGCATTCCCTCATAGGAAAAGGACGATAATCAATTCAATAATGAATTTAGTCATTAACACATTAATATACAGTGCATTCGGAAAATATTCAGACCCCTTAACTTTTTGAACATTTTGTTATGCTACAGCCTTATTCTAAAATGGGTTAAATATTTGTTTTCCCTCATCAATCTACATACAATACCCCATAATGACAAAGCAAAAACAGGTTAAAAAACCCCGGAAATATCACATTTACAGTGAGAGAAAAAAGTATTTTGATCCCCTGCTGATTTTGTACGTTTTCTCACTGACAAAGACATGATCAGTCTATAATTTTAATGGTAGGTTTATTTGAACAGTGAGAGACAGAATAACAACAAAAAAATCCAGAAAAATGCATGTCAAAAATGTTATAAATTGATTTGCATTTTAATGAGGGAAATAAGTATTTGACCCCTCTGCAAAACATGACTTAGTACTTGGTGGCAAAACCCTTGTTGGCAATCACAGAGGTCAGACGTTTCTTGTAGTTGGCCACCAGGTTTGCACACATCTCAGGAGGGATTTTGTTTCACTCCTCTTTGCAGATCTTCTCCAAGTCATTAAGGTTTCGAGGCTGACGTTTGGCAACTCGAACCTTCACCTTCAGCTCCCTCCACAGATTTTCTATGGGATTAAGGTCTGGAGACTGGCTAGGCCACTCCAGGACCTTAATGTGCTTCTTCTTAAACCACTCCTTTGTTGCCTTGGCCATGTGTTTTGGGTCATTGTCATGCTGGAATACCCATCCACGACTCATTTTCAAGTTGTCCTGTCCTCTTAGCAGAAAAACACCACCAAAGCATAATGTTTCCACCTCCATGTTTGACGGTGGGGATGGTGTTCTTGGGGTCATAGGCAGCATTCCTCCTCCTCCAAACACGGCGAGTTGAGTTGATGGTAAAGAGCTCGATTTTGGTCTCATCTGACCACAACACTTTCACCCAGTTCTCCTCTGAATCATTCAGATGTTTATTGGCAAACTTCAGATGGCACTGTATACAGTGGGGGAAAAAAGTATTTAGTCAGCCACCAATTGTGCAAGTTTTCCTACTTAAAAAGATGAGAGGCCTGTAATTTTCATCATAGGTACACGTCAACTATGACAGACAAATTGAGAAAACAAATCTAGAAAATCACATTGCAGGATTTTTTATGAATTTCTTTGCAAATTATGGTGGAAAATAAGTATTTGGTCACCTACAAACAAGCAAGATTTCTGGCTCTCACAGACCTGTAACTTCTTCTTTAAGAGGCTCCTCTGTCCTCCACTCGTTACCTGTATTAATGGCACCTGTTTGAACTTATTATCAGTATAAAAGACACCTGTCCACAACCTCAAACAGTCACACTTCAAACTCCACTATGGCCAAGACCAAAGAGCTGTCAAAGGACACCAGAAACAAAATTGTAGACCTGCACCAGGCTGGGAAGACTGAATCTGCAATAGGTAAGCAGCTTGGTTTGAATAAATCAACTGTGGGAGCAATTATTAGGAAATGGAAGACATACAAGACCACTGATAATCTCCCACGATCTGGGGCTCCACACAAGATCTCACCCCGTGGGGTCAAAATGATCACAAGAACGGTGAGCAAAAATCCCAGAACCACATGGGGGGACCTAGTGAATGACCTGCAGAGAGCTGGGACCAAAGTAACAAAGCCTACCATCAGTAACACACTACGCCGCCAGGGACTCAAATCCTGCAGTGCAACACATGTCCCCCTGCTTAAGCCAGTACATGTCCAGGCCCGTCTGAAGTTTGCTAGAGTGCATTTGGATGATCCAGAAGAGGATTGGGAGAATGTCATATGGTCAGATGAAACCAAAATATAACTTTTTGGTAAAAACTAAACTCGTCGTGTTTGGAGGACAAAGAATGCTGAGTTGCATCCAAAGAACACCATACCTACTGTGAAGCATGGGGGTGGAAACATCATGCTTTGGGGCTGTTTTTCTGCAAAGGGACCAGGACGACTGATCCGTGTAAAGGAAAGAATGAATGGGGCCATGTATCGTGAGATTTTGAGTGAAAACCTCCTTCCATCAGCAAGGTCATTGAAGATGAAACGTGGCTGGGTCTTTCAGCATGACAATGATCCCAAAAGCTTCGTAAGAAGCATTTCAAGGTCCTGGAGTGGCCTAGCCAGTCTCCAGATCTCAACCCCATAGAAAATCTTTGGAGGGAGTTGAAAGTCCGTGTTGCCCAGCGACAGCCCCAAAACATCACTGCTCTAGAGGAGATCTGCATGGAGGAATGGGCCAAAATACCAGCAACAGTGTGTGAAAACCTTGTGAAGACTTACAGAAAATGTTTGACCTGTGTCATTGCCAACAAAGGGTATATAACAAAGTATTGAGAAACTTTTGTTATTGACCAAATACTTATTTTCCACCATAATTTGCAAATAAATTCATTAAAAATCCTACAATGTGATTTTCTGGATTCTTTTTTCTCATTTTGTCTGTCATAGTTGACGTGTACCTATGATGAAAATTACAGGCCTCTCTCATCTTTTTAAGTGGGAGAACTTGCACAATTGGTGGCTGACTAAATACTTTTTTCCCCCACTGTATGTGCTTTCTTGAGCAGGGGGACCTTGTGGGCGCTGCAGGATTTCAGTCCTTCACGGCGTAGTGTGTTACCAATTGTTTTCTTGGTGACTATGATCCTAGCTGCCTTGAGATCATTGACAAGATCCTCCCATGTAGTTCTGGGCTGATTCCTCACTGTTCTCATGATCATTGCAACTCCACGAGGTGAGATCTTTCATGGAGCCCCAGGCCGAGGGAGATTATTTTTGTGTTTCTTCCATTTGCGAATATCTCACCAGCTGTTGTCACCTTCTCACCAAGCTGCTTGGCGATGGTCTTGTAGCCCATTCCAGCCTTGTGTAGGTCTATAATCTTGTCCCTGACATCCTTGGAGAGCTCTTTGGTCTTGGCCATGGTGTAGAGTTTGGAATCTGATTGATTGATTGTTTCAGTGGACAGGTGTCTTTTATACAGGTAACAAACTGAGATTACGAGCACTCCCTTTAAGAGTGTGCTCCTAATCTCAGCTCGTTACCTGTATAAAAGACACCTGGGAGCCAGAAATGTTTCTGATTGAGATGGGGTCAAATACTTATTTCCCTCATTAAAATGCAAATCAATTTATAACATTTTTGACATGTGTTTTTCTGGATTTTTTTGTTGTTATTCTTTCTCTCACTGTTCAAATAAACCTACCATTAAAATTATAGACTGATAATTTCTTTGTCAGTGGGCAAACGTACAAAATCAGCAGGGGATCAAATACTTTTTTCCCTCACTGTACATAAGTATTCAGATACTTTGTTGAAGCGCCTTTGGAAGCGATTACAGCCTCAAGTCCTCTTGGGTATGACAAGCTTGGCACACCTGTATTTGGGGAGTTTCTCCCATTCTTCTCTGCAGAACCTTTCAAGCTCTGTCAGGATGGATGGGGAGCATCTCTGCACAGCTATTTTCAGGTCTCACCAGAGATGTTCAATCGGTTTCTAGTCCGGGCTCTTGCTGGGCCACTCAAGGACATTCAGAGACTTGTCCCGAAGCAACTCCTGCGTTGTCTTGCCTGTGTGCTTAGGACCATTGTCCTGTTGGAAGGTGAACTTTCGCTCCAGTCTGATGTCCTGAGTGCTCTGGAGCAGGTTTTCGTCAAGGATCTCTCTGTACTTTGCTCCGTTCATCTTTCCCTCAATCCTGACTAGTCGCCCAGTCCCTGCCGCTGAAAAACATTGCCACAGCATGATGCTGCCATCACCATTCTTCACCTTAGGGATGATATTAGCCAGGTGATGAGCGGTGCCTGGTTTCCTCCAGACGTGACGCTTGGCATTCAGGCCAAATAGTTTAATCTTGGTTTCATCAGGTCAGAGAATCTTGTTTCTCATGGTCTGAGAGTCCTTTAGGTGCCTTTCAGCAAACTCCAAGCGTGCTGTCATGTGCCTTTTACTGAGGAGTGGCTTCCGTCTGGCCACCCTACCATAAAGGCCTGATTGGTGGAGTGCTGCAGAGATGGTTGTCCTTCTGGAAGGTTCTCCCATATCCACAGAGGAACTCTGGAGCTCTGTCAGAGTGACCATCGGGTTCTTGGTCACCTCCCTGACCAAGGCCCTTCTCCCCCGACTGCTCAGTTTGGCAGGGCGGCCAGCTATAGGAAGAGTCTTGGTGGTTCCATACTTCTTCCACTTAGGAAAGATGGAGGCCGCTGTGTCCTTGGGGACCTTCAATGCTGCGGACATTTTTTGGTACCCTTCCTCAGATCTGTGCTTGGTTTTTGCTCTGTCAACTGTTGGACCTTATATAGACAAGGTGTGTGCCTTTCCAAATCATGTCCAATCAATTGAATTTACCACAGGTGGACTCCAATCAAGTTGTTGAAACATCTCAAGGATGATCAATGGAAACAGGATGCACCTGAGCTCAATTTCGAGTCTCATAGCAAAGGGTCTGAATACTAATGTAAATAAGGTATTTCAAAGAAAAAATATATATAAACATTTTCTAAAAACCGGTTTTTTCTTAGTCATTATGGGGTATTGTGTGTAGATTTTTTTATTTATTTAATCCATTTTAGAATAAAGCTGTAACTTAACAAAATGTGGAAAAAGTAAAGGGGTCTGAATCCTTTCCGAATGCTCTGTATTTACCTCCGATGTGTCAGTGTTTGTGTATGTAACTAGTAGACAGTATTCATAAACAAATAGTGTAATGCTTTTGACAAAACAATATCCTTGGGACACAAAACGGTAGGCAAAATGTATAGGGACAGTTGTTCCAATCAGACAGTGATTATTTTGGATGAGTTACAAAACATCAACAACCTATACAAGGTCAAATGGATGTTTTAAAAGCATTTTAGAAGTTTTATCAACAAATGAAGACAAAACAGAACCATTGAGCCAGTTGTCATGCCTTCTGGTTCTGAATAAAATGAAGAAATCAAAAGTGCCCTAAAATATTGTATATAAGCCAGTTGAAGGAACAATCACCAAGGTGCGCTGTCAGCTTGCAATTGTGTTGATATAGACCACAAGTGCAGTTTTCTCCTCTTGCTAAGTCTTCTGTAAAAACACTTTCTGTTTTTGACAGGGTAATTGAGAGGGTGGTATTGTAGACATCTCATTTAAGATTGCCTCAAACTGCTTACTACAAAGTTTGACATTCCACACAGATTGCTTGTCCAAAAACTTCAGAGGTACTTAGCAGAATCACAGTTGCGTAAAAAACAACAACATATGTTTACCTCTGTTGACGGTATGGTATCACAGAGACATAGAGAGAAGACTAGTGAAGAGTGCCAACAGTCACTTGTTTCAGGATGTATGTATGGTTATGGCACAGCTTGACATTTCATTGAATAAAATGTATCCTCCACATTGGTATTTGTTGTAAAAGATTATAATCTCCTTTGTATTAATGTATTATCTCTTTATAATCAGTGGACTTTATTGTAGACTATAGCTATGGCGTACTCTATCTAGAATGATACAATTTTGTGTTTACCATTTTAAACATCTCCCTAATCTTTTTTGCATCTTGAACTCTGTAATTCATTACGGATGGATTGATTACCTGACAAGCATAATGAGCTGTAATGCTTTCTGTTCATATTGATGCTGACCAATCGTGTTATCCATGCCTTTTGTGAGGACATTTAGGAATCTTGCTCTGTCATTCAAGATAATTCTCATTTTAGAGGTCAAGGCATGTCCTTAACCACTCCAATGAGGCTGTTGGATAGGTTATTTTTTAAATCATTACTGGCTGCCAAAAGAGAGTCGCCATGGACATGGATATTGCTCTCCATATTCTATTATTATTGTAAATGGCAGGTCAGTGTGTAATTGCTAATTTATTCCTAGCTCTGTCTGTCTATCTGCTTGTTACAGTCACCATGACATCATCACATTGCTGTATGTATTTGTATAGTTTCTGTATTTCATTGTTATTAAAGCATAGGTCGGAATTCAATTTTAGCGCATATTGGTTTCCTTTAAAGGAAAACTCCACCCCAAAATGATATTTTGTTTCATTAGTCCATTGCTGACATAGTCCGATTTTTTTTTGCTTGTCAGCACTCAGGTTTTCAAGAGATGAAACTTTCAAAATACAGAAATCATCCCCATATGATGCATTTTGCATCATACAGGATGTATTTATGTATTTTGAAAGTTACATATTTTGAAAACTTGATTGCTGACAAGCAAAACATTTTGGGACTATGTCAGCAATGGACTAATGAAACAAATACCAAAATATAGTTTTGGGGTTGAATTTTCCTTTAATGCTATTTCTCTCAGGTGGCACATGCTGTATCGGAGGTGTCAAAGGTCAACAAAGATTGACATCTCATGGACATTGGATTGCCACAAAGCCACAATTATCCTTAGACAATTTTGAGTTTTCGTGCGCTTTGTAGTACAATGCATGACGATTGAATTAGAAACAGAGGGGGCTGCAGTCTAATTAAACAAGTTGATCAAATCTACAAATCTATTATTGTATTGTTAAGTTCCATTAAAATGACTATTATTCTTGGTTTAGCAGCCGTTGGTCATTGAGGAAAAATGTGTTAGATCTTGACATTAGTTATTATTATCATCAATCTCTGCAATGTTTAAAAACATATATACAGTATATCAGAATAGTTGAGTTTACAATGCAGGGTGAGTGATAAGTGGCTCCTGAAAAGTAAACTAGCTACCAGTGAACTCGTACCAAGGGTTTAGGCTCTCACATTGATCATTCACTTTGGGCTTGCTACTACACATTTCAGTGAGGATAGCCCAACCTACACAGGTAATACATTTGCGCTTGGAGTCTCAGGAGGAGAAATATGGATGGGAATAATGGTTTTTTAATGGTCCAATTGAGAGAATTTGAGGATGTTGATAATGGACTTGTCCTAATTAAGCTTCATTTCTTCCCTTCAAGCAATCTCTTCTCAAATCCAATTTTCTTTTAACTGCCTTTCTTCTTGTGCCGGCATCAAAAGTGGAGGCATCTTTTTTTCTCAAGTCTTTGTTCATGCCCAGGCATTGCAAATAATTGAACTACTCTTTTCCATTTCATCATTGCATTGCCACCACTAAATTATTTGCAAATGTATTTCATGGTTTCATTATTTCAGTCTCCCTGGTAGCTGGGACAGTGGTGCTTTTTGCAAATACTATGCAATGCTAATTATTCTGTTTATCACAGCACACACAAAACAGATGCGTTTGAAAGTATAGAGCTGCAGCAGCTGCAATGTCTTTTGCTGCTCTAATACGAATAAGCTATGTTTGTCATACCAGAGTACTATGATGTTTTTCTACAATACATGATAAAAGACTCAATATTATTTCATGGGATCTATGGTTGGAATTCAATCATAGCGCATAACATTATTAACATTTTATTGGATTTTGATGCAAAACCACACCAATCCTGAAATATTGATTTAATTACTGCAGTAGGCTAAATCAGGGTCACACAGAGTGTTTCTTGGTAGTCTTAAACAAATCTACTTTGAAACAAAAGTATACACCTCACACACATGGTTATGGTTTAAAAAAAGAAGACACCTGTACCATGTCAGATATAGAGATTTTTTCTTCTTCTATAATGTTCATACATTATGAAATTATGAAAATATTCATAACATTCCACCCATGAGGCCACTAGTTCATTTGACTGCAGGAAAGGGCTACATCCCAAACCACGGTTGACCCAGATATGGATTGTTTACTTTTTCCATGATTTTAAAGGGAATTTGTTATGATTTAATTATTTTAATTGATACCATTTATAGGAAAACAAAGCACTTTGTATCAGAATGAATAGAAGAATAAGAAAATAAGCATTATGTAAACAGTACAATTGCAAAATGGTTTATGGCCAAGATATTGTGGCTGTCCTTGAACCAATGTGGAACATGTGTCCTGTTTTGAGCAGGTTATCAAGCTTGCCTTTGAGGAGTTTGATCTTGAGAGAGGATATGACACGCTAACAGTGGGGGACGGAGGGAAGATTGGCGATGCCAGGAGAGTGCTCTATGTGTGAGTATTCTGCAGATGCCCTGAATTTATACTATCTCAAAACTTTCCCTCGAAATGTTCCCTCTAACCTTTCCCCCCAGCATTCACCGTAAGATTTTTAAGTTGCACCGAACTATGTTCTAGTCTACACAGATGAAATAGGACAATGCATTGGGGCAGTTATTCAGATAATACATTGAACATAATTGTCATAAATTAATACACATTTACACCTTTACTTGAAAATAATGACCATCATTTTTGGAGCATGAAAACAATAAATAAAGGTTCTGATTTGAGTAAGAGACAATAAGTTAATGAGTCATTGAGTTCCATGTGATGTGTTTCAGGCTGACAGGGTCCAGTGTTCCTGACCTGATAGTCAGTTTGAGCAACCAGATGTGGCTCCATCTCCAGTCTGATGACACCATCGGGTCACAAGGGTTCAAGGCCACATATGAAGGTACACTTCCTTTCTTCTTTGAGAACATATTCAATGGTCTGCCAAATAATGGATTTGTCCGGATTTAAACCCTGTACATCTACCATTTAATGTTGAGGCCATGATTATTTGAGTCTCAAAGTTGGCGCGACTTTTCAGCAATTTCATTGCGTTTTTTGGACGACCTTTACTGACACCGGTCATATTCAACAGGTGTTGCACGTTGGTAAATTAATCAGTTATTCTGCGCTCCTGCACACTCAGACGAGAGTGCTCTGAAATCGGAGTCGATAGTTAGAGCGAATTTACGAACGCACCCTTAGAGAGAATGATTCCGTAAATAACATTATACAACGGGTGGGTCTCATCCTGAATGCTGATTGGTTAAAACCGCATTCCAGCCAAGTCATCATTTCTACAGTTTCAGCGAAAGATTAAAGCAAATGGGCCAGCATGTGTTCGACATAGTCACTGATATGTTAGAGTTATCCAAATGGGCCAGCATGTGTTCGACATAGTCACTGATATGTTAGAGTTATCCAAATGGGCCAGCATGTGTTCGACATAGTCACTGATATGTTAGAGTTATCCAAATGAAATGCACTGGCTGATTTTGGATAGGCTAACATATAACAGCAACGCAAAGTTCTATGAATAGGGTTGCAAAATTCTGGTAACTTAACCAAAATTCCCTGGTTTTCCAAAAAGCCTGGTTGGAGATTTCCCGGATTTCCTGCTTATTCCGTTGTAAATACATTAATGTTCAAACCAGGCTTTCTGGAAAACCGGATAATTTTTGGAAAGTTACCAGAGTTTTGCAGCCCTATCTATAAATATATCTAAGCATCTGTTTCAATAAACACTAATGTGCAGAATTTGCCTCCACCAGCATAAACGGTTATTCATTCCCAGTATCAGATGGTTGGACTAATTCCTTCCAATTGATGAATAGCACTGAACTGGCACTAATAAGTCACTCTGGCAAAGTCAGACCCACATTAAAGTAGTGTCATGCTGTGAGAGGGAAGAGATTTGCGTTGCTGATACATACTGTAGGGACACTGTTTGCTTTGGAAGTTGTTTTCCATTCCACTCAACTGCTAGGTGGAAGTAAATTGTATTTAAGCCCCTGTTCAATCAAACCTGGTATGCCGATTTATTGCCACAGTTAGACAAATTATTGTTCTGACTGGGAGACCGTGTTTGTATTGCTTTAATAATGAATCAATGTGAAACTCTGTGAAACAAAAATGAACTCTACTGAATATTAATTCACAGATACCTTTTTATAGCTAGAACCAGGCCAGAAATGGCAGGACACCAATATGGATTAAGCAGGGCAATTAGCTTGTAAACAATATTACAACCCATAAAACAGCTATGCTATAGGCTAGTTGGTAGTTTATTGGAATAGACGCCAGAGTCTATCTTGTTTTCTAAACTGTTGAGGTTATCCATGGCCCACGACCCTCTATGAACTTTTGAAAGTTATTAGTTTACATTTTTGTGTGGAAACATTGAATGGAAAGTCCATTGTCACCACCATCCACTTTCCATTTAGAGATGACTATTATCTCGTCGCGTCTCAACCCTTACGTTATAAGGTCACACTGACAATCCACTTTCCATTTAGAGATGACTATTATCTTGTCAAGTCTCAACCCTTACGTTATAAGGTCACACTGACAATCCACTTTCCATTTAGAGATGACTATTACCTCCTCAAGTCTCAACCCTTACGTTATAAGGTCACACTGACAGTTTGCACAATCGACAACTTAACATGATGCATAACCCTGCACAATGACACAACCTCAATTAACTTTGTGTAAACCCAATTTCAAACCAGTGTCTACAGTCCAGGTGTCACAGTTGACATTAAAACCACTAGAGGTGGGACTTATTTTCAGGGGTTGCATACAGTAGGTGTCCATGTCTAATGTATATACAATCTGGGGGAGTATTCAGTCAGGCTTGTTCATCTGAAGACTGTCTATAGGCCACATACAATGCTTTGCAAAAGTATTCATCCCCCTTGGCGTTTTTCCTATTTTGTTGCATTACAACCTGTAATTTAAATTGATTTTTATTTGGATTTCATGTAATGGACATACACAAAATAGTCCAAATTGGTGATGTGAAATGAAAAAAATCACTTGTTTCAAAAAATTTGAATAAATAAATAACGGAAAAGTGGTGCGTGCATATGTATTCACCCCCTTTGCTATGAAGCCCCTAAATAAGATCTGGTGCAACCAATTACCTTCAGAAATCACATAATTAGTTAAATAAAGTCCACCTGTGTGCATCTAAGTGTCACATGATCTCAGTATATATACACCTGTTCTGAAAGGCCCCAGAGTCTGCAACACCACTGAGCAAGGGGCACCACCAAGCAAGCGGCACCATGAAGACCAAGGAGCTCTCCAAACAGGTCAGAGACAAGGTTTTGGAGAAGTACAGATCAGTGTTGGGTTATAAAAAATATCAGAAACTTTGAACATCCCACGGAGCACCATTCAATTCATTATTAAAAAATTGAAATAATATGGCACCACAACAAACCTGCCAAGAGAGGGCCGCCCACCAAAACTCATGGACCAGGCAAGGAGGGCATTAATCAGAGAGGCAACAAAGAGACCAAAGATAACCAAAGCTCCACAGAGGAGATTGGAGTATCTGTCCATAGGGCCACTTTAAGCCATACACTCCACAGAGCTGGGCTTTATGGAAGACTGGCCAGAAAAAAGCCATTGCTTAAAGAAAAAAAGAAGCAAACACGTTTAGTGTTCGCCAAAAGGCATGTGGGAGACTCCCCAAACGTATGGAAGAAGGTACTCTGGTCAGATGAGACTAAAATTGAGCTTTTTGGCCATCAAGGAAAACGCTATGTCTGGCGCAAATCCAACACCTCTCATCACCCCGAGAACACCATCCCCACAGTGAAGCATGGTGGTGGCAGCATCATGCTGTGGGGATGTTTTTCATCGGCAGGGACTGGGAAACTGGTCAGAATTGAAAGAATGATGGATGGCGCTAAATACAGAGAAATTCTTGAGGGAAACCTGTTTCAATCTTCCAGAGATTTGAGACTGGGACGGAGGGTTCACCTTCCAGCAGGACAATGACCCTAAACATACTGCTAAAGCAACACTCAGGTGGTTTAAGGGGAAACATTTAAATGTCTTGGAATGGCCTAGTCAAAGCCCAGTCCTCTGCAAGCCACTGTATAAATCAGTAAATTGCCACATAAACGTTAAGGATTAAGGAAAGAATCATTGCATCATACCATCAAACTCACTTTGCTAGCAGGTAAGCAGTTCCTTTAGGCACAGGCTTCTAGTGAATATGTTGCCCCTAACTTGTATTTTATTTCCTTAATTCCTTCCTGTAGCACATTCTATGGGCCTATTTGTTATTCATTCTGTGATGATTAAGATTTTCTCTAGTACAACTAGCTAAGGTAGGCTCACTGCGAGAACATTGATTTTGAGGGATGTCTCACAAGGAGCTGAGTGAGAGGGAGGGAAAGTGTGTTTTTGTCATCATGCATTTCCAGATACATTACAATTTGGGATCAGAGTCGAGTAAACCTGTTGTTATGGAATAATGGAAACGTATTGTTGTTGTAAGTGCAGTAGTCTCACCGTCACTGAGATGTATTCTTTTGAACTGCAGTCTCTTTTATATATATACAGTGGGGAGAACAAGTATTTGATACACTGCAGATTTTGCAGGTTTTCCTACTTACAAAGCATGTAGAGATCTAAAACAAAAATCCAGAAAATCACATTGTATGATTTTTAAGTAATTAATTTGCATTTTATTGCATGACATAAGTATTTGATCACCTACCAACCAGTAAGAATTCCGGCTCTCACAGACCTGTTAGTTTTTCTTTAAGAAGCACTCCTGTTCTCCACTCATTACCTGTATTAACTGCACCTGTTTGAACTCGTTACCTGTATAAAAGACACCTGTCCACACACAATCAAACAGACTCCAACCTCTCCACAATGGCCAAGACCAGAGAGCTGTGTAAGGACATTAGGGATAAAATTGTAGACCTGCACAAGGCTGGGATGGGCTACAGGACAATAGGCAAGCAGCTTGATGAGAAGGCAACAACTGTTGGTGCAATTATTAGAAAATTGAAAATTGAAAAGTTCAAGATGACGGTCAATCACCCTCGGTCTGGGGCTCCATGCAAGATCTCACCTCGTGGGGCATCAATGATCATGAGGAAGGTGAGGGATCAGCCCTGAACTACACGGCAGGACCTGGTCAATGACCTGAAGAGAGCTGGGACCACAGTCTCAAAGAAAATCATTAGTAACACACTACGCCGTCATGGATTAAAATCCTGCAGCGCACGCAAGGTCCCCCTGCTCAAGCCAGCGCATGTCCAGGCCCGTCTGAAGTTTACATTTTAGTCATTTAGCAGACGCTCTTATCCAGAGCGACTTACAGGAGCAATTAGGGTTAAGTGCCTTGCTCAAGGGCACATCAACAGATTTTTCACCTAGTCGGCTTGGGGATTAGAACCAGCGACCTTTCGGTTACTGGCACAACGCGCTTAACCACTAAGCTACCTGCCGCCATGACCATCTGGATGATCCAGAGGAGGAATGGGAGAAGGTCATGTGGTCTGATGAGACAAAAATAGAGCTTTTTGGTCTAAACTCCACTCGCCGTGTTTGGAGGAAGAAGAAGGATGAGTACAACCCCAAGAACACCATCCCAACCGTGAAGCATGGAGGTGGAAACATCATTCTTTGGGGATGCTTGTCTGCAAAGGGGACAGGACGACTGCACCGTATTGAGGAGAGGATGGATGGGGCCATGTATCGCGAGATCTTGGCCAACAACCTCCTTACCTCAGTAAGAGCATTGAAGATGGGTCGTGGCTGGGTCTTCCAGCATGACAACGACCTGAAACACACAGCCAGGGCAACTAAGGAGTGGCTCTGTAAGAAGCATCTCAAGGTCCTGGAGTGGCCTAGCCAGTCTCCAGACCTGAACCCAGTAGAAAATCTTTGGAGGGAGCTGAAAGTCTGTATTGCCCAGCGACAGCCTCGAAACCTGAAGGATCTGGAGAAGGTCTGTATGGAGGAGTGGGCCAAAATCCCTGCTGCAGTGTGTGCAAACCTGGTCAAGACCTACAGAAAATGTATGATCTCTGTAATTGCAAACAATGGTTTCTGTACCAAATATTAAGTTCTGCTTTTCTGATGTATCAAATACTTATGTCATGCAATAAAATGCAAATGAATTACTTAAAAATCATACAATGTAATTTTCTGGATTTTTGTTTTAGATTCCGTCTCTCACAGTTGAAGTGTACCTATGATAAAAATGACAGACCTCTACATGCTTTGTAAGTAGGAAAACCTGCAAAATCGGCAGTGTATCAAATACTTGTTCTCCCCACTGTATATACAGTACCAGTCAAAAGTTTGGACACACCTACTCATTAAAGGTTTATTTTAATTTTTACTATTTTTTACATTGTAAAATAATAGTGAAGACATCAAAACTATGAAATAACGCATTTGGAATCATGTAGTAACCCAAAAAGTGTTTAACAAATCAAAATATATTTTAAATTTGAGATTCTTCAAAGTAGCCACCCTTTGCCTTGATGACAGCTTTGCACACTCTTGGCATTCTGTCAACCAGCTTCACCTGGAATGCTATTCCAACAGTGTTGAAAGAGTTCCCACATATGCTGAGCACTTGTTGGCTGCTTTTCCTTCACTCTGCGGTCCAACTCATCCCAAACCATCTCAATTGGGTTGAGGTCGGGTGATTGTGGACGCCAGGTCATCAGATGCAGCACTCAATCACTCTCCTTCTTGGTCAAATAGCCCTTACACAGCCTGGAGGTGTGTTGGGTCATTGTCCTGTTGAAAAACAAATGATAATCCCACTAAGCGCAAACCAGATGGGATGGCGTATCGCTGCAGAATGCTGTGGTAGCCATGCTGGTTAAGTGTGCCTTGAATTCTAAATAAATCACTGACAGTGTCACCAGCAACGCACACCCACACCATCACACCTCCTCCCCCATGCTTCACGGTGGGAACCGTACACGCGGAGATCATCCGTTCACCTACTCTGCGTCTCACAAAGACACGGCGGTTGGAACCAAAAATCTCAAATTTGGACTCCTCCGGTCTAATGTCCATTGCTCGTGTTTGTTTGCCCAAGCAAGTGTCATCTTATTATTGGTGTCCTTTAGGAGTGGTTTCTTTGCAGCAATTCGACCATGAAGGCCTGATTCACGCAGTCTCCACTGAACAGTTGATGTTGATATGTGTCTGTTACTTGAACTCTGTGAAGCATTTATTTGGGCTTCAATTTCTGAGGCTGGTAACTCTAATGAACTTATCCTCTGCAGCAGAGGTAGCTCTGGGTCTTCCTTTCCTGTAGCGGTCCTCATGAGAGCCAGTTTCATCATAGCGCTTGATGGTTTTTGCGACTGCACTTGGAGAAACGTTCAAAGTTCTCGAAATGTTCCGTATTGACTGACCTTCATGTCTTAAAGTAATGATGGACTGTCGTTTCTCTTTGCTTATTTGAGCCGTTCTTGCCATAATATGGACTTGGTCTTTTACCAAATAGGGCTATTTTCTCTATACCCCCTCCACCTTGTCACAACACAACTGATTGGCTCAAACGCATTAAGAAGGAAATAAAATCTACAAAACATAAATAAAAAATGTCTCTGTTATCTGTTATTTGTGGACATTGATATGATGCTTTGACTTGTTTATGACATCTCTGAAATATTTGCATTAACTCTGAAACAGTCCACTGTGTACCTCAAATACACATATTTTTATGTTATCTCCTGTTTACTTGTTTCAACAATGTTTGTAATTTCACCCACAATATGCATTGAAATGGGAAACATGTTCTGGACTGCTGATTTGACTCCCAGCTCATCATAATGTCGGTTATTGGACGGTAGATTCAGTGATGGCCAGCCACTTGAGACATATTTACATATTAGTATTGAAGAGAATGGCGAAGGCTTAGTAAGACAGTTTACATCTCTATCACGGTTGCGATTGGGCTGATATGCCCTTACTGATTGTGGAGCCTCTGCATAGATCCTTCAACTAATTGCTCTTGGCAGGTCCAAAGGTATTTAACTGACACTTAACACCTCACAAAGGTTGTTGAATGTGCTGCTGGAATAAAACCCATCCCCTGTAGATTATTGCTCAGATGGGCTAGTGGAGCGGCAGCAGCTGAGCTGACAGGCTGGTTGTTAACACAAAAAAATGAACTCTTCCAGAACGTCATTTTACTCCTGCTCTACCTGAACACGTAGAGGAACTAATAAACTCTCGCTGTCTTGTTTTCTCTTGGATTATACCAGGGATAGCTTGTATCATGTGAACCATCCATGGTTCTAAGACTATTTTCCTTGTGTAAGGAATGTTGTGTTAGAGGAAAGCTGTCATGTTATGTTTTCAGGATCTGATGATTGCTCAGTGGATGTCAGTTTTAGGAGATTCAACCCTAAGATCAACTTGCCGGATGTCCTTGGGAATTGAAACCACTGAATGAACTTCAACGTTGTAACACTTGTATATTTTTTACAGAAATCGACAAAGGAGGGTGTGGGGATCCTGGCATCCCGGCCTACGGCAGAAGAACAGGGGAGCGTTTTTTACACGGCGACATGCTGACGTTCGAGTGTCAGGCGGCCTTCGAGTTGGTCGGCGAGAGAATGATATCATGCCAGCAAAACAACCAGTGGTCTGGAAACAAACCCAGCTGCGTGTGTAAGATACCATTTAAAAATGCATGACTTTAATTAACAGCGCTGTCATTGAGATTGATCCATCTGATACACCGACACCGTCCCAACAGTCCGAGGGAACCAGCCAGCTAGGGAAGGAAGGTGATATGGCTATCCCCACTGACTCATGTAAAGCTGCCATCATCTCTCGGGGCTTGGTCAACACTCCCGCTGTCTATTTTGGAAAACCATACATGGGTGGTCCATGGGTGGTCCTCTGTAACTCAGCTGGTAGAGCACGGCGCTTGTAACGCCAAGGTAGTGGGTTCGAACCCCGGGACCACCCATACACAAAAAAAAAAATGTATGCACGCATGACTGTAAGTTGCTTTGGATAAAAGCGTCTGCTAAATGGCATATTATTTATTATTATTATATTATTATACAATTCAAAGATCATTACCACCATAATTTAGACACTGAGCTTATTCATTATAGTTTCTATACAGAGGCCTTAAGAGTTCTTTTTTGAGAAGGGAGACTTTTCAGATGTAAAGTAAGAGCCTCTGCTGCAGGTAATGCTGTATTGTTAGAGTTCAATCTTTTCAACCATCCAACAAGGGTTAAGCAGCTAATCAGCCAAGGGCAATCAGCTCTTGGTTCTATGCACTCACTACTGTAAGTCGCTCTGGATAAGAGTGTCTGCTAAATGACTAAAATGTAAAAGTTAAATATCCTCTACTGTCATGACACTGGGTTATATTCTTCCACCTAGTACAGTGAATAGAATGTGTAGCACCTGAAGCATTCAAAGGAAAGCATGTATCCGTCCCATTTCAAACAAAACGTCTTCAGTGATGTCTTATAAAATAGCTAATTTCGCTCACTGTGTGATGCATCAAAGCATGATGGCAGATCTGTGTGTGTGTGTGTGTGCCCCTATCTATTTTTACAGTCTCCTGCTTCTTCAATTTCACCACCCCATCAGGAATAATCCTCTCCCCCAACTACCCCGAGGAGTATGGGAACAACATGAACTGTGTGTGGCTCATTATCGCAGAGTCAGGGAGCAGGATTCATCTCATTTTCAGCGACTTTGAGGTAGAGCCCCAGTTTGACTACCTCATTGTGAAAGACGACGGGATGTCAGAGCCCACCACATTCGGCACGTTCTCCGGGAAGGACGTACCCTCTCAGATCGCCAGCAACGGACACATCATGCGCCTGGAGTTCCAGTCTGACCACTCCAACACTGGGAAAGGATTTAACATCACTTACACAAGTAAATATTGGAGATTTTGCAATATTTTGTAGACTCGAGGCCCCTCACAATGTCTTCTGTTATGCAATTCAGAACTGCCTGTGGCACAACTACTGAGTCAAGTTGTCTCTTTAGTGCTTCAGATGTGTGCAATCAAATACTTAGTCAGGTATACTCTCACAAGGGAGCTAACGAATCAACATTATTAACAATCTTCAATTAGAGGATCCCTATCTGAGAATGGAGCTCCATTAGCTAGAACTGTGGTACTATTGTATTTAACAATTTGTATGGCCAAAGATTTGTGTATACACGTTTATCTTTTACCCATAATTAAAATCAGGAAAATCTCATTTGAATTATTACTAATTCTATTACATTTGATTAACTGGTCTAAAGATATACGTAGTGCATCACTTTTACTACTTACCCATACATTTTATTTAATTATTTCCCACTGGGCACACGCTGGTTAAATCAACATTGTTTCCACGTCATTTCAATGAAATTACATTGAACCAACGTGGAATAGACGTTGAATTGACGTCTGTGCCCAGGGTGTTCACTCTGTTTTCTATTCAACAGATGACATTTGCCCTTTTCTCTCAATACTACACCATTTAAAAGGGCCTTGGGAATGTTTGGCATTTTAATCATTTACAATATTAACATTTTAATGCATATTTTAATGCAAATGTGTCTACCAGTCGGCCCCAAACATGTTTTATTTGTAAACACGAGATAAGAAAAACAATAGTACTGCAAGACAATTCCGAACCTTGAAGGTAAACATTTAAAGCCATACATTTTAAATGTTTTGCTGATAATTTAGAGACAGTATCATGGAACAGGAAACAGCAATGGTAGAGAGAGGTCTGTTCGGGTCCTCTGCCTCGAAATAGACACACTGTGGCACAAAAATATTGAACTGATCCGGGTGTGCCCAATGTTAATGGAATTATGCTTGTGCCACACCGAGCTGAAATTAGGTCTGAATATTGCTGTCCCCAGTGCCTGTTTGCTATCTCTAGGACACATCGTCTCATTGCACTCCCCTGGCCTGGGAGACAATGCAGCGACATGTCTCTCCTCCACAGAGGAACAGAGGAAGGCTGCAGTGGTGGGGAAGGTTAATGAAATGAAGGAGGATGTTGTTACTGTTCTTATTCCACATCAGCATCCGCTGGACCCTCCTGTCAGTGACTAAGACAGGGATGGGGGGGGGGGTTCTCGTTGGGGAGGTGTCTGCCATGTGATGGGGATGGCTGGGGAGCCGGTGGTGTGGCATCTCAATAGCAGCGCCATAGAACTGGCGTGTCGCTGTGTCAGGAGGAGAGGGACATGTCTCCCAATCTGGCATGGGGAGTTACTGTCAGCAAGCAGGAGTGTAATAACAATGAGCCAGGGAAATGAGTGTTGCCTCCATGGCGTCAGTCTTCACCACTGTGCTGTGTTCATTTTGTTGGCTGATTAGCATCTATTCTCAATGACTAAATAATTAACCAGGTTGTCATCGTGTTCTCTGGGATAAGACAAATTAGTTAAATGTGACATAGAATCCAGTTTGATGTCTTCTTATTGATTAAAAAACAGCAACACTGAAAAACACTGAAACCAGTTTTATTTTCCTCTCTAGCGTTTGGTCAGAATGAATGCCACGACCCCGGCATCCCAGTCAATGGCCAGCGGTATGGGGAGCACTTCTTGTTGGGGAGCTCCGTGCTTTTCACATGTGATGAAGGCTTCATCAAAACCCATGGGTCTGAGTCCATAACCTGCATCATTCAGGATGGCAACGTTGTGTGGAATGCAGCAGTTCCTCGGTGTGAAGGTACTGTATAATGTTGAACAATAATCCATGTAATCCTATAAGTAGACAGTCTGCCAATGTCATCCTGACTCCCTTGGGTTGGAGTGGGTGGGCACTGGGCATGTCATGTAGGGGGTCTGCTTTATTGTTGTCTATTGGTGTAACATTGTAGAAAGTGTGCTACAACTCAAAAATAACTAGTAAAGTTTCCCCTTGACAGTCTATATGGATAAATGCTGCATGCTGTTGCATATAGACTTGTAAGCTCTCTATGTCAGAACATTGCCACTAAGATATGTTCCCCTCTAGCACCATGTGGGGGACATTTAACAGCTCCAACCGGAGTTCTGCTGTCACCTGGCTGGCCAGGATACTACAAAGACTCTTTGAACTGTGAATGGGTCATTGAAGCCAGCAAAGACCATGCCATCAAGATATCCTTTGACAGGTTTCTATTTTGTTTCAAATGTGTCTTATCCCTGATGAAGCTATTTCAATCATTCCATTTGAGATAATCTGCCATGATAGGCTACATAGAAATGTTTGGATGAAATAGTAGCTTCTAATTCACTTCTCTTTTCGCTCCTTTTCTGTCTGTCTGTTTCCATGTAGATTCCAGACCGAGGTTAATTATGACACACTGGAGATTCGGGATGGCCCCTCCAACTCCTCTCCTTTAATCGGAGAGTATCATGGCACTCAGGCGCCCCATTTTCTCATTAGCACCAGCAATTACATGTACCTGCTATTCACCACGGACAACAGTCGCTCCAGCGTGGGCTTCCAGATCCGCTATGACAGTGAGTTCTACTGTTTTCAATTTGAAATGTATCCACAGGGCTACCTTTGAAAAGTGGAGGACATTGTGTTGTCAATCCACACATTGTTTCATGGCTACAACGGCTGGTGCAATCTCACTTTACTGTGTGTGCTGCTGATGTCAATATTAACTCAGCTCGTGTGTGGGTGTTGTGATCATATTGAAGTGGTGTAGGAGCTGTGAAATTAGATTTACACTTCATTTGGATAACTTGTCTTCATTGGGGTTGTTGCCTGAACAGGGCTGCGATTTAAATGCCAAAAAAATGTGAGATTAGGTAGGGAAACCTAATTTAACTCATGAGATGTAACTTGATTATATCACTAATAATAGCAATAGGCTGTGGTTTGCAATACGATTATTAAGTAATCTATCAATAATTGAATAGCGTTGTAAAATAGCTAGTCTAATTCTTTCTCCAAATTCTATGATATGCCAAAATATCTTAGGAATGTTAAAAAGGAAAACATAACTGTGGAATGAAAGTGATGTCACAAAGGCTGTTTTAAATTAATGCTTTGGGGTGTGTTCGTAAATTCAATCTGGAGTGCCAGAGTGCACTCAGAGTACGCTCTGGGCATTCGTAAATTCAGAGCGTTGTCAGATTGTCCGTTCGTAAATTCAGAGCGGTTCGCTTTCTGAGCGTTCAGAGCACACACTGGACGCTCTGGCCGAGTTGTAGGGTTGATCGGAGTGTTCTGACCTCACAACGGCAGTCAAGCACCCAAGCTAACTGGCTAATGTTGGCTAGCTTTCTAGCTACTTCCAGACACAAATGAGAGAACACCTCACTCTGACCATTTTACTCGCGCTAGCAGAGCTGTTTAGGCTGTTTTCATGTTATCCAGAGCGTTAGTGACTGTAACTGTGCTGCTGGCAACAATTTAATTACGCTTTTTTGCCGACGTTTACTGACACCGGCCATAATCAACGGGTGTTGCGTGTTCGTAAATCCATCAGTTATTCTGCACTCTGGAATCGGAGTAGATAACCGGAGCGAATTTACAAACGCACCCTTAGAGAGAATGATTTCGTAAATAACATTATACAACGGGTGGGTCTAATCCTGGATGCTGATGGGTTAAAACCGCATTCCAGCCGGTGTCTATTCCACAAGTTACCACCGGCTAAAGCTATGACGTTAAAATGCCTATTTACTCTGTTCCATCTCACTGCGCAATTCACTGTCTCATCAGCCCAGCCAGGCAATTTATAAACTTGATCTCCACTATAAAAAGCACCTAGACATTATCTCCCATTTCTTTTAGACTAGCATTTGGTTTTCAACAGCGGAGATTTATATAAACCTTGCTGTCTGTCTCGCCGACATTTGCAACATTGTTTCAATATTGAAATTTGATCTCCAGCTGTCCCACAGCCAGTCGAAATCATGAATCAGCATCATTTTTATGGATATATACAAAGAACTATCAATAGAAAACAGGTAAAACTAAACTAAGTGCAGCTAGTTTGAAGTCTTTCCAGCTTCAGTTTGAAATGATTGTGTTAGCTGTGTTGTTGGCTAGCTCCTCTGAACTACAGTGTGCTGACGAGAGAGCACATTTTCTATGCCATGTGAAATTGCGCAACATTAGCTCATTGTTATGGATGTATCCAAATAAATGTCACTAGAAAACAGCTTTGTTGTTATTCTGGCTGCACTGTTTGACGTGACTGTAAGTTAGCCGTATTTGGCTAGCTAGCAAACAAGGGATAAGGACGTTGCCAGCCAATATGGCAATGGAACATTTAGAACGAAAAGATCAATAGATACAGAACAAAAATAAGACTGAACGACTGGGTCGCGTCTCTAGCAACCGAACCGATAGAACGAACAACCAGCCGGCTTGGGTAGCATCCCTAGATTTGTGTCGGGACTATATCTTGTGGAAAGATTAAATAGTATGAATAAATTAATCAAAATAACTTTTTTTTAAGAAAAATATGTCAGTCATTATTTGAATATGTTGGTAATCCGTTGTATAAAAGTGATAATGCCCTCGAAGACAGTGTTCGTCTCGGGCCTAACAACACCCATGCTAATATATCCTCCAAACACCGGGTTCAATGGCATTATCACTTAAATGTACAACTGCCATCCATCAGTCTACTATGATAGAGAACATATTCTCTTCCAAGAGTGGAGTACATACTTACTTTAATCAGGCTTCCATACTACATACTCACTAATTAATGCCCTAAATGGTGTTTTCTAAACATATTTGATGTATTTTATTGGGAAAAACTCCTTAATAAAATATACATTTGATTATTATTACAATATTTCTTATGAGGACAACCCTCCACCAAGGGATGAAATAGAATGAGAGGGGGAAGGAGAGAGAACTCCTTGTGGCTCCCTCTCATGATTTATACAGTAAAGAGCGATTCTGACACCATCTTCTATTCAATTTAAGGCCTGAAGGTGAAATTAAATAGCTATTTCTATCCCCACAGGCGTTATGATGGAAACAGATTCCTGCTTAGATCCTGGGATCCCAGTCAATGGAAAGCGGTATGGGAACAATTTTGCCATTGGGACCAGGGTGACATTCAGCTGTGATCAAGGATATACGCTGAGCGATGAGAAACCAATCGTGTGCGAGAGGAACCATCAGTGGAACCATGCACTGCCCAGCTGTGATGGTAGTGTACCCCGATCTAGCACCGTCCAACCCTTCTTTCCTCTCCTTTTCCATGTTCCTGTCAGGTGCACTTACATGCATGGCAGCACTTACTCGGCCATCACCCCTTCTCCTCATACTCCCCATCACATTCACAGAGAGAGATGTGGGAGACACAGCACACTGCTAACCAATCGCTCTGTCTTATCTGGTGGAAAGGGTACACCTCTTTGACAACCCTAAGGGGCTGAGTTCTTTGATTCCTGATGAGAGGAAAGGTAACTAGAATATGCACACTTAAGATAACTTTGAGCGGCAGACAACAGAGAGTCTGAGAGTTGGTAGGCAGGGTGGAGATTCTGCAAGAAGACATCATTCCAACCGCTTATCTCATTTGTTTCCCGCTACTTGGGATAAAAATAACCTTGTACAGCATTTCCCCCCCCCCCCCCAGTAAATGGAGTAGATCATCAGGTTTTGGTCGTCCAATATCATCCTCCAGACAACGAGTTTATAAGCTGTGTCTTCTATTCTAGCTGAGTCTAATTCAGACTGTTCTCATCTGAACTTGACCTTCATGATTGACAGTGGTGGCATTTCCACATCCCATTCAGATATGTAAAACGTTTGCTGCCGTTGTATCTGCCTCTTTGTCCCTCTTACTCACTCTATCATTTCACAAGGGGGCTGTAGGCATATGCAATAGACAGGTCCTGTTCCAGGCAAAGCTGCTATCTGATTTTTAAATGGGATTTATCACTCATTCATTTCAGGAATAGATACAATGTTTTATATTAGACTGAGGATTAGGGCATAATCCTTTTTGCGAATGGTGAGAAATAATGAACCACAGAACACAGAACGATCACAGAACATAACATTGATCATCCATCATTGGTTTGTTCTTGTAGTGTCGTTCTTAGAACCCTCATTCTTAGACGTCGCAGCAGGAATGCACGCTTCACTTCCTGTAGAAATGGTCCACTAGTCCTGCACCCTGAGCACCTGCCTCCTCCCTGCCCACTGCTGCGTTTATGGTGGAAGCAGGAGTTAATCTCTTAAAAGCGGGGCCAGCTTTATTTTTTACATTTTACATTCTAGTCATTTAGCAGACGCTCTTATCCAGAGCGACTTACAGTTAGTGAATACATATTAGATCCTAGATTAAGTTCCCTTTATGATTATTTTATTTATGACAAAGACGGTACTATATGGATTGTTCACGCCCACAAATGTGTCTTGTCCATGTCCCTTTGTGATAACTATACCAGAAGTAATTTTTAATGATTTCCAAGGATCCCTCACGTTGGGGCAATCAAGTACAACAAAAATATCTTCCCCTCTTCCTTCCAACGGGATGAATCAGACCTCAGTACATATATAGATGCTTGTTGGGATACCATGCAATTATGAGATTTTTATTTGTCTCACACTCAAAAGAGCCATCCTCGCTGATTAACTTTCAGTGGTAGCCTTGGGCGAGTATGATAACACGCGACATGAGCCCCATTTAATCACCAGCATCTCCATACCCTACGGAATCGGGTATAATTGCAAGTGCCAACTCCATACTATCTTGGGAACGCCTTTTTCAGCTATTTTCACAGCATTTAACTGATACTCACACCAATTAAAAATGCTGAGTGACTCAACCTCACAGGCTAGAGGTTGTGGACCTCTGTTTGTCTATTCACATACACATTCATGCTACAAATGTCATGCTTCACAATCACAGGAAATACAATTATCCCGTGATACATACACAGAAGCCATAGTAGATTAGCATATTTCCTTTAAGGGCATTCCTTTAACTTGTTTTTTATTTTCATTCATCTCGTAATTAAGGCAGTGACAAGTTGTTGTTTAGACGACTCTGCCTGACTGTCTCCACTGACAGGACCTTTCCTGTCAGAATTCTGCCTCGGTTATTAAGTTCCCTTTTGATCTTCCCAGACAGACTCACTATCAGCATACAGTATCCCAAGTCTTCATCTTACTCAGCCCTAGCTGGGTAATCTCTGAGGCTTTTCATCTGGGAACATGATGTGTCTATGTCTGTGTTTCACACTGTCATCAGATTTGTCTCTACAAATAACATGGAGGAGAAACTAAAAGTTTGTTTAGAACATTTACTAAGTGCAAAAGAGATCCTCTTACACCCAGGGATATTTTTTTGCAGTCTCTGACCTAGATTCGGGTATTAAACCACCCGGATTCTTTTTATTTATGTTGCAATTTCTTTGAGCAATTTTCAGTGATATTGCCATACTGATCAAAAATCAAATGATACAAGTTCATAATCTTTTGCATCTTTATTTATTTAAATGCTGTTATAATAAATTTTTCAAAACCCCCCTGATTGTTACACAAAAAAAATTGCATGAATGAATCATTAAAGGGCAACTCCGCCACTTTTCGTTATCTCTGCAACAAACAAGTGTCTACATATGTGAAAACTGAGCATTTCTACATTTTGTAGAATAAAAACCCATTAAAAAGCTCTTCCCGATGACATCGTCAAAAGTTTAAACATTTTAAAAACAGTGATTTTCAAACATTATGAGATTCGCGGTGACATGAGGAGCAAGAAAATACCCTCCCTAGCTAGAAACACGTTGCAGGTTTGAAAACTAATATGTTTCTTAATTTTAATCCTACCCTGTGATGTCACAGAGCGCTGTTTTCACATATGCTGGTTTGGTGCTGGAGATAATGAATATGAGATTGAAAAGTAGCGGAATTACACTTTGATAATGGAAACGTTCAGTTCTCAAAATATGGGAGTTAAAAAAAACTAACAATGCCTCATTCAACTCATTCATGATGTGTTTCATTTTGTTTCCCTTAGCGTTGTGTGGTGGTTATATCTTTGGTAAAAAAGGAACCATTCTCTCCCCTGGGTTTCCTGATTTCTACCCAAACTCATTGAACTGCACATGGACAATAGAGGTGTCTCATGGTAAAGGTAAGACGTATTAATAGCTCTCTACCGTAAGAACCAACCAATCATTTGTTGCAGCAACTGAGTGAGTAAAAACCGCTGTGACTAGCCCTACAGCACCCCAATTTGAATGATGAATCTCTATATCCTCATTAACATTAAGCCCCAGCACTCCCTTAGGGCTGGTGTGACGTGGATACAGGGTTTTTGATGTGTGACTTAGGGAGGCCTAATCTTATCTGAAACTCTCCAGGAGTGCAGCTGCTCTTCCATACGTTCCACCTGGAGGACTCCCATGATTACCTGCTCATCACAGAGGATGGCAGCTTCACGGAACCCGTGGCCAGGCTCACTGGCTCCGTCCTGCCCCCCTCCATCAAGGCCGGCCTGTTTGGAAACTTTAGCGCCCAGCTCCGCTTCGTCTCCGACTTCTCCATGTCCTATGAAGGTTTCAACATGTCCTTCTCAGGTGGGTGTCACGTATTGTGTATAAAGGGTGATCAGCTGTTGAGGATACATTTTAAGAGTTCCTTTCATGTAGATTCAAAGATATGAGGTGACTTCAGTGATTAGCATTGGTGTAAAGTACTTCAGTAAAAATACCTTAAAATACTACTTAAGTCGTTTTTGGGGTATCTGTACTTGACTTTACTATTTATATTTTTGACTACTTTTACTTTTACTTCACTACATTCCTAAAAAAAATATTGTACTTTTTCTCCATACATTTTCCTTGACACCCAAAAGTACTCGTTACATTTTGAATGCTTAGCAGGACAGGAAAATGGTCCAATTCATGCACTTATCAAAAGAACATCCCTGGTCATCCCTACTGCCTCTGATCTGGCGGATTCACTAAACACACATGCTGGAATGTTGGAGTGTGCCTCTGGCTTTCCGTAAATAAATAAAATAAGAAAATGGTGCCGTCTGGTTTGCTTAATATAAGGAATTTGAAATGATTTATACTTTTACTTTTGATTCTTAAGTATATTTTAGTAATTACATTTACTTTTGATACTTAAGTATATTTTAAACCAAATACTTTTAGACTTTTACTCAAGTAGAATTTTACTGGTTGACTTTTACTTTTACTTGAGGCATTTTCTATTAAGGTATCTTTACTTTTACTCAAGTATGACAATTGGGTACTTTTTCCACCTCTGCTGATTAGAACATTGTTTTTGATAAAAAATGGATTGAGGACTCGGCAGCCTATTAAGTCAATGTGAAGCAGTAACAGTTTAGACGTCAGTAGATCAAATGCTGAAATAGTTGGTATTTATTTATAGTGCAGGTGATGGAGAAGACTGGCTCCAGAGTCGTATCTACAAAGATATACATTTACATTTTAGTCATTTAGCAGATGCTCTTATCCAGAGCGACTTACAGTTAGTGAGTGCATACATTTTTCATACTGGCCCCCCGTGGGAACAGGTAAATTCTATACAAACTTCAAACATGACAAAAATACTTAAAGGCCCAGTGCAGGCACAATTCTGTTTTTCCTATGTTTTGTTTCATATGTGTACAACAGCTGATGAAACTAACACTGTAAAAGTGTGGGGAAAATGTGATCAGTGTTATTTTTTTGAGTTGCTGTTTGGAAATACAATCTACAGAGGACCTTCTAATCAGCAGGTTTTGCATGGGTGGAGTTTTGGCTTGCCTGATGACATGATCGGGTGGTATAAGTGAATCAACCAATTACAATAAGATTTCCGAACCTCTTTGCCAATAACAGATAGTTTTCAGGTTAAATATCCCTCCCGCTAGGCTCCTCCACTCATGGATTGATCCACTCTGTGGTTAATGCATTGCATTGGCACCCTTCCCCTCCCCACACAGACCACTCCTAGACAGTCCTAGCAATTTTGTAGTTTTTTTGCTATCAGAGTAAGTTACCAAACTGTTACCCAGAAATGATTTGATATTGAGATAAAAATGGCTGCATTGGGTTTTTAATAAACTTGCTCTGCCAATAATATAATAACCCGACTCGAGTACAAATACAAACGCACCTCAAACACAGGGCAAAATGCCCATAAACATCTGAGTATGGCAGAGATATACAGTGGGGAAAAAAAGTATTTAGTCAGCCACCAATTGTGCAAGTTCTCCCACTTAAAAAGATGAGAGAGGCCTGTAATTTTCATCATAGGTACACGTCAACTATGACAGACAAAATGAGGGAAAAAAATCCAGAAAATCACATTGTAGGATTTTTTATGAATTTATTTGCAAATTATGGTGGAAAATAAGTATTTGGTCACCTACAAACAAGCAAGATTTCTGGCTCTCACAGACCTGTAACTTCTTCTTTAAGAGGCTCCTCTGTCCTCCACTCGTTACCTGTATTAATGGCACTTGTTTGAACTTGTTATCAGTATAAAAGACACCTGTCCACAAACTCAAACAGTCACACTCCAAACTCCACTATGGCCAAGACCAAAGAGCTGTCAAAGGACACCAGAAACAAAAATGTAGACCTGCACCAGGCTGGGAAGACTGAATCTGCAATAGGTAAGCAGCTTGGTTTGAAGAAATCAACTGTGGGAGCAATTATTAGGAAATGGAAGACATACAAGACCACTGATAATCTCCCTCGATCTGGGGCTCCACGCAAGATCTCACCCCGTGGGGTCAAAATGATCACAAGAACGGTGAGCAAAAATCCCAGAACCACACGGGGGGACCTAGTGAATGACCTGCAGAGAGCTGGGACCAAAGTAACAAAGCCTACCATCAGTAACACACTACGCCGCCAGGGACTCAAATCCTGCAGTGCCAGACGTGTCCCCCTGCTTAAGCCAGTACATGTCCAGGCCCGTCTGAAGTTTGCTAGAGTGCATTTGGATGATCCAGAAGACGATTGGGAGAATGTCATATGGTCAGATGAAACCAAAATAGAACTTTTTGGTAAAAACTCAACTCGTCGTGTTTGGAGGACAAAGAATGCTGAGTTGCATCCAAAGAACACCATACCTACTGTGAAGCATGGGGGTGGAAACATCATGCTTTGGGGCTGTTTTTCTGCAAAGGGACCAGGACGACTTATCCGTGTAAAGGAAAGAATGAATGGGGCCATGTATCGTGAGATTTTGAGTGAAAACCTCCTTCCATCAGCAAGGGCATTGAAGATAAAACGTGGCTGGGTCTTTCAGCATGACAATGATCCCAAACACACCGCCCGGGCAACGAAGGAGTGGCTTCGTAAGAAGCATTTCAAGGTCCTGGAGTGGCCTAGCCAGTCTCCAGATCTCAACCCCATAGAAAATCTTTGGAGGGAGTTGAAAGTCTGTGTTGCCCAGCGACAGCCCCAAAACATTACTGCTCTAGAGGAGATCTGCATGGAGGAATGGGCCAAAATACCAGCAACAGTGTGTGAAAACCTTGTGAAGACTTACAGAAAACGTTTGACCTGTGTCATTGCCAACAAAGGGTATATAACAAAGTATTGAGAAACTTTTGTTATTGACCAAATACTTATTTTCCACCATAATTTGCAAATAAATTCATTAAAAATCCTACAATGTGATTTTCTGGATTCTTTTTTCTCATTTTGTCTGTCATAGTACCTATGATGAAAATTACAGGCCTCTCTCATCTTTTTAAGTGGGAGAACTTGCACAATTGGTGGCTGACTAAATACTTTTTTTCCCCACTGTAGTAACAGCATGTTACTTAGACAAACATCCCTGAATGAGGATTGGGGAATCCTAAATAATAACCCCATCACCTGGGATAAACCATTTACACCTTTAAACAGGTAAATTCTCACAGAACAGTGATAACACACTTTAAAGTTATTACAATTACCCATACAATTACCCAATGAACATTCTAGTGGTCAATACTTAACACGTTCATGAAAACAAATACATAATTAGCATAAACATGAACGTTTCCAATAAACAATGACAACACCTCAGAGAAACCAAATAAGGAGAGGCTTGCAACCTGTGCCTAACCTGTGGTCTTCACCGGTGAGCTCAAGTAGGAGAAACTTCACATTGGTGGTGAGTAGAGAATAGGACAGGTTGGCGTTACCAAACAGAGGAAATACAAACATTTCAAAATACATAATAATAATAACTAGTGATGGGAATCCGAGGCTTTCTGAAGGCTTCAGAGTTTTTGTCAAATTGTGCAGAAAAATTGTTCATTACGCGGATCTTCATTATCTGTTTACAATGCACATTAGTGACGTGCTGGTCAGCAATAAATAGCAGTGTGTGATTATCAGATATGTTTATTTCTCCACTGTTTTAAATCAAAACTCCATGGCGCAGCGGTAAATCGTTAATTTCAGTAGCCTATAATCCGTTGGAGTACAAGGTTCTCATCATGCTTCCCTTTTTTGCCTTCATGTTTATTATTTTTCTAAAACTATATCCATGGCATTATTTAGGTTGCTTAAGACAGAAGCTTATACTATACTAAATAAAACAAATTATTTGAACAACAGTGCAAAGTGTGGTTTCACATAAAACAATTGTCTAAATAGTGTGCCTTCAACGGGATTCGACCTCATACCCTCATGTCCCTGAATATGTCATAGTTCCCTACTCTACCTGCGAAGCTACCTGTCAAGTGAAAATATATATATATATAAAATCCTAACTATATATATATTTGTAAGTATTGTGTTCAGTAGAAGTCGGTGTTTGAAAGCAGTTTGGAATCGAAGAAAGCACCGAAACCAAGGAGAAATCAGTGGGATCTCACATTTTGCAACACACAATTTGAAAAAGAACGTGTTCAAACGAAGCATTTGGAAGTCATTGATGACGTACTTCTGATAAAGTGATACACACATGGCGTTCCATACAGCACACTGCTTCGAATGCCGTGTTCACATGCTAGTTTGATGGCAATGACACTGTAGGTGAGATCGAGGCTTCAGCAATTTCAACGAATGCTTCGAAGCTCCGGAATCAAACGTAACATCATTAATGATAACAAGACCCTTTGACTGACCAGACTTTGATTACAAAACACATGTATCAGTGTTTGAAGGGACAAGGGATAGCATGGTTAGCAAGCAATGTTCATACTAGCTGAGCATTCTCAGCTCCACAATATGTAGGCTACATCACATCTCAATGGAGTTGAGTGTTGATGAGTTTTGGCGGAGTGTACCTCGGACTACATCGAGTCGGTATCAGACGATACTTGTAAAAATGTCAATTCTTTAAATCGTACCTTGTACCTATGCTTGTCCTGTGTAAAGATGTTGTTTTCTTTGGGTGTTGCAATCCGTAGTTTTGGATAAAAACGTCATTCTATGTGACCTCTGTCAAATTGCACCACGTAATCCACTGTTTTACAATGGAATATGAAGTTAGTGACTTCAAACATGCGCTACCACCCAATACCTTTATAAATAGCAATTATTTAATTACTTTGTACCTGTGCTTGTCCTGATTGTTGTCAGTGGGAGTTGGGATCCATAGTTTTTGATAAAAAATAGCCTTCTATGCATCCCCTGACAAAACTACTAAATATGCAGTGCAATGACGGGTTGCTCCTTATCCGTTAACAAACAACTGCTCCCTTGGCGGTGGCCGTGTAAAATGCTATTTTTATCAAAAAATATGGATGGCAGCACCCATAGAAAAGAACGCCTTTACACAGGACAAACATAGGTAGGCTACAAGGTATTCATTAAAGACTGATACCGACTCGATGTAGTTGGAGGTACACTCCGCCAAAACTCATCACTCAACTCCACTGTATTATACAACAGTGGAGTTGAGAATTCGTACCAAGCAATTGGTCAGTTTGTGTGGGGAGAGGGAGAGGCCCCACACGTGTAGATAACTCAAAGGCATATCGTCGTCACACGTTGTACCTTTTTAACAAGGTATACAAATAACGGGCCATATATGAAAACATGTATTTAAAAACTCTAAAAGCAAAATGATACTACAATCAAATTATGGTAAATCTGCATCTTAGTACTAATGTGGATTGTACTTTGGGAAAAAATGCAACATTTTGCTAAAATAACAGTCTGTTTTGATACATTTGTTTTCCAGATAACATTTACATTTACCAGACGCTCTTATCCAGAGCGACTTACAGTTAGTGCATACATTATTCTTTTTAATTTTCATACCCCATGGGAATCGAACCCACAACCCTGGCGTTGCAAACGCCATGCTCTACCAACTGAGCTACCTCCCTGCCGGCCATCGTTATTTAAATGTCTAATTATGTTTTGATAAGAAGATGAAGTTGATATTTTACTATGATTGTTGCTTTTTTTCCAATAGTTTCTTCTTGGGGTCAAAATGACCCCAGTTAAAATATGTTGGCAGTTTGAGGGTTAAGAAACATGTTGGCGAAATCCACAGAGTACAGCCTAGAGCCTTGTGAAGACCCAGGAGTGCCAGCCTACAGCCGACGAGTTGGGTTCCAGTTTGGGGTGGGGGACTCTCTCATTTTCTCCTGCTTCCCGGGTTATCGTTTGGAGGGGGACCATAAGATCACCTGCCTAGGGGGAGGCCGGAGGGTCTGGAGTGGAGCCCTGCCAAGGTGTGTGGGTAGGTAGACACATGCTTTCATTTCATTTGGACAAACTGGGAATACTTGTACTTTGAAATAACTTGTACTGTACTTTGCCAATGGCAGGAGAAGGGGCTATACTGAACATATAGTGTAATGCAAGTGCATGAGCTTGTTTCTAATGGATTGATTGATTGAGCTACACTACCGTTGAAAAGTTGGGGGTCACTTAGAAATGTCCTTGTTTTCGAAAGAAACATTTTTTTGTCCATTAAAATAACATCAAATTGATCAGAAATACAGTGTAGACATTGTTAATGTTGTAAATGGCTATTGTAGCTGGAAACGGCTGATTTTTTATGGAATATCTACATTGGCGTATAGAGGCCCATTATGAACAACCATCAGTCCTGTGTTCCAATGGCACGTTGTGTTTGCTAATCCAAGTTTATCATTTTAAAAGGCTAATTGATCATTAGAAAACCTTTTTGCAATTATGTTAGCACAGCTGAAAACTATTGTGCTGATTAAAGAAGCAATAAAACTGGCCTTCTTGAGACTAGTTGAGTATCTGGAGCATCAGCAATTGTGGGTTCGATTACAGGCTCAAAATGGCCAGAAACAAAGAACCTTCTTCTGAAACTCGTCAGTCTATTCTTGTTCTGAGAATGAAAGCTATTCCATGCGAGAAATTGCCAAGAAACTGAAGATCTCGTACAACGCTGTGTACTACTCCCTTCACAGAACAGCGCAAACTGTCTCCAACCAGAATGGAAAGAGGAGTGGGAGGCCCCGGTGCACAATTGAGCAAGAGAACAAGAGGACAAATATATTAGAGTGTCTAGTTTGAGAAACAGACGCCTCACAGGTCTTCAACTGGCAGCTTCATTAAATAGTACCCGCAAAACACCAGTCTCAACGTCAACAGTGAAAAGGCGACTCCGGGATGCTGACCTTCTAGGCAGAGTTGCAAAGAAAAAGCCATATCTCAGACTGGCCAATAAAAATAAAAGATTAAGATGGGCAGTCTGAGATATGGCTTTTTCTTTGCAACTCTGCCTAGAAGGTCAGCATCCTGGAGTCGCCTCTTCACTTTTCTTTCGAAAACAAGGACATTTCTAAGTGACCCCAAACTTTTGAACGGTAGTGTACATTTCTGAATATTGTCAAATGGTTAACAATCTCAAGAATATAACTCAACTTGTCCCTATGATCAGTTAAGTACTCTTTTATAAGCAGAGTTAGAAACCAAAGATGATTTGGCTGTCATTTTGTCATCCCCTACAAATAACCATGTGTTTTCTCATAAAAAGTTCAGTATAGAAAATTAGTCAATCACCCCACGTGAACCAAATTAGAGTTTAAGCTCACACGACTCAAGGTCTACAGGCAACATTTGCTTCTATATCTGAGGTACAACATCAGAATATTAACTACAAGGACATCTCATTCCAGCACAGCCCTGAGCCTTAGTGACGAACACACACTTAATGCAGAGAGCTGTTCATTAATTAATATTCCTCTCAAGTTTCTGTTGTGGAGATTCATAACAATTCCAGCAAGGGAAACACCTGATTTGCCCATCAGTGGATAACAGGGCAGCAGCTGCTGAAGTATTCTGGGTTCAAACTGCTGAACGTTTGTGGTGAACTCTTCTCTTTCTGTTAAACTGCTCCTTCAATGCCCCTGTTCAGTTTCATAACGGACAGATATGAATTTTCTCACAGGTCTTCTCTCTCTCTCTCTCTCTGTCTCTCTCTCTCTCTTTCTCTTGTAGCTAGGAATGAGCAGCTTCTAGTGTGTAGGGAAATATGACAGTTCTCTAAAGATAATCAAGACATTTTTCTGACTTTAAACGCAGATTGCCATGAATGAAATGTCTTAATATCATACTCTCTCTCTCTCTCTCTCTCTCTCTCTCTCTCGCTCTCTCTCGCACTTTCTCTCCCTCTCTTGCACTTTCTCTCTCTCTGCCTAGCTGAATGTGGAGCCACTACCGTTGGGTGTGAGGGGGTTCTGCTATCACCCAATTATCCATCCAATTATGACAATAACCATGAGTGCATTTACCGCATTGAGACGGAGGCAGGGAAGGGCATCCGTGTCACGGCCACTAACTTCCTGCTCCACGAGGGGGATTACCTGAAGGTGAGTCTCACATCACTCATACACTACACTGGATATTTACTCTGTAGATGTTACATATCAATACAGCCCCACGCATAATCTTCTCATTGCAAGGTGTGCAAATAGTTAATAAAGGGCTCAATGTGGGACTTTTTCACTGCCGCATCAACTCTTTGAATGCAGTTACGATCCAATGTAACCCGTAAGAGACCAGAGGTAGTGACTCAGTCAAATCATGAATTATTAATGCCTTCATTAAAATGACATGATGCCAGAGCTTGAGGCATAGAGAGGCCCATGAGAAAAATAAGTTGTGAACAATCCCTGAAGACCACTAATTATGCATCATGGGAGACGTAGTATGATGTAGACGAGGGCCAGACACAAGCTTCAAAATCACAAAAACTAGGAATCGTGCAGTATAACTAACAAAAACAATAAAACATCAACATGGGCGGCAGGTGGCTTAGTGGGTAAGAGCGTTGTGCCAGTAACCGAAAGGTCGCTGGTTCTAATCCCCGAGCCGACTAGGTGAAAAATCTGTCGATGTGCCCTTGAGCAAGGCACTTAACCCTATTTGCTCCTGTAAGTCGCTCTGGATAAGAGCGTCTGCTAAATGACCAATTATTATTATCAAAATGTGTATCAAATCTTACAGTATTGCATATATACTAACAGCATAATAACTGGTTATAAAGTGGTGGAATTGTCCTTTAAGATCCCATTCAATCTCTTTAAACAGAAAATCTAATAACATTGTGTTGGTCACATGCGACGAACACAACAGGTGTACACTTTACAGTGAAATGCTTGCTTACGAGCCCATTCTCAACAATGCAGAGTTAAAAAAGTAAGAAAAATATTTGCTAAATAAAAAGGAAATAGTAACACAATAACATAACAATAACGAGACTAAGTACAAGGAGTACCGGTACCGAGTCAATGTGCAGGGGAACGGGGTAGTTGAGGTAATTGAGGTAATACAGTATGTACATGTGGGTAGGTTACTAGGCAATCAGGATATATAATAAACTGAGTAGCAGCAGCATGTGTGTGTGTGTGTCTGTGTGTGTGTGTGTGTGTGTGTGTGTGTGGTGTCAATATGCATGTGTGTGTGTGTTTTGTGTGTGTGAGCGTATGTAGAGTGTGTGTGTGTGTGTGTGTGTGTGTGTGTGTGTGTGTGTTGGAGTGTCAGTGTAGTACGTGTGAGTATGTGGGTAGAGTCCAGTGAGTGTGCATAGAGCCGATGCAGGAGAGTCAGTGCAAAACAATTAAGATAAATAAAGAAATAATAAAGGGGTCAATGTAAATAGTCCGGGTAGCCATTTGGTTAACTGTTCAGCAGTCTTATGGCTTGGTGGTATAAGCTGTTCAGGTGCCTTTTGGTCCCAGACTTGGCGCTCAGGTACCGCTTGCCGTGCGGTAGCAGAGAGAACAGTTTATGACTTGGTTGGCTGGAGTCTTTGACAATTTTTAGGGTCTTCCTCTGTCACCGCGTGGTATAGAGGTCCTGGATGGCAGGGAGTTCGGCCCCAGTAATGTACTGGGCTGTACGCACTACCCTCTGTAGCGCCTTGCGGTTGACTGCCAAGCAGTTGCCAGTCAAGATGCTCTCAATGGTGCAGCTGTAGAACTTTTTGAGGATCTGAGGGCCCATGCCAAATCTTTTCAGCCTCCTGAGGGGTAAGAGATGTTGTCATGCACTCTTCACGACTGTGTTGGTGTGTTTGGACCATGATAGGTCCTTAGTGATGTGGACACCGAGGAACTTGAAGCTCTCGACCCGCTCCACTACAGCCCTTTCGATGTGAATGGGGGCGTGTTCGGCTCTCCGTTTACTGTAGTCACTTACCCCACCAGACATGCCACCAGGGGTCTTTTCACAGTCCGCAAATCCAGAACAAATTCAAGAAAGCGTACAGTATTATATAGAGCCATTATTGCATGAAACTCTGTTCCATCTCATATTGCTCAAATAAACAGCAAACCTGGTTTCAAAAAACAGATAAAACCTCACGGCACAACGCCTCTCCCCTATTTGACCTAGATAGTTTGTGTGTATGTATTGATATGTAGGCTACGTGTGCCTTTAAAAATTTTTTATGTAGTTCTGTCCATGAGCAGTTCTTGTCTATTGTTCTGTATTATGTCATGTTTCATGTTTTGTGTGGACCCCAGGAAGAGTAGCTGCTGCTTTTGCAACAGCTAATGGGGATCCTAATAAAATACCAAATACCAAATAGTCCACGACAAGCTCCTTTGTCTTTCCCACGTTGAGGGAGAGGTTGTTGTTCTGGCACCACACTGACAGGTCTATGACCTCCTCCCTATAGGCTGTCTCATTGTTGTCGGTGATCAGGCCTACCACCGTTGTGTCGTCAGCAAACGTAATGATGGTGTTGGAGTCGTGCCTGGCCATGCAGTCGTGGGTGAACAGGGAGCAGGAGGGGACTAAGCACACACCCCTGAGGGGCCCCTGTGTTGAGGGTCAGTGTGGCGGATGTGTTGTTGCCTACCCTCACCGCCTGGGGGCGGCCCGTCAGGAAGTCCATGATCGAGTTGCAGAGGGAGGTGTTCAGTCCCAGGGTCCTTAGCTTAGTGATGAGCTTGGATATCACTGTGGTGTTGAATGCTGAGCTGTAGTCAATGAACAGCATTCTCACATATGTGTTACTTTTGTCCAGGTGGGAAAGGGCAGTGTGGAGTGCAATATAGATTGCGTCATAAGTGGATCTGTTGGGGCAGTATGCGAATTGGAGTAGGTCCAGGATTTCTGGAATGATGGTGTTGACGTGGTGTGAGTGCTACGGGGCGGTAGTCATTTAGACAGGTTACCTTGGCGTTCGTAGGCACAGGGACTATGGTGGTTTGCTTAAAACATGTAGGTATTACAGACTGCGTCAGAGAGAGGTTAAAAATGTCATGAAGACACTTGCCTGCTGGTCAACACATTCTCTGAGTAATCCGTCTGGCCCTGCGGCCTTGTGAATGTTAACCTGTTTAAAGGTCTTACTCACATCGGCTACGGAGAGCATGACCATACAGTTGTCTGGAACAGCTGGTGATCTCACGCATGGTTCAGTGTTGCTTGCCTCGAAGCGAGCATAGAAGACATTTAACTCGTCTGGTAGCCTCGCGTCACTGGGCTGCTCTCGGCTGGATTTCCCTTTGTAATCTGTGATAGTTTGCAAGCCATGCCACATCCGATGAGTGTCAGAGCCGGTGTAGTAGGATTCGATCTTAGTCCTGTGTTGAAGCTTTGCCTGTTTAATGGTTAGCGGGATTTTTTTATAAGCGTCCGGATTAGTGTCCTGCTCCTTGAAAGCAGCAGCTCTAGCCTCTAGCTCAGTGTGGATGTTGCTTGTAACTGTGGGGACAACGGCATCGATGCACTTATTAATTAAGCCAGTAACTGATGTGGTAAACTCCTCAATGCCATCGGATGAATCCCGGAAAATATTCCAGTCTGTGCTAGTGAAACAGTCCTGTAGCTTAGCATCCGCTTCATCGGACCACTTCTGTATTGAGTGTGTCACTGGTACTTTCTGTTTGAGTTTTTTCTTGTAAGCAGAAAGCAGGAGGATAGAGTAATGTTCTTATTTGCCATAGGGAGGGCAAGGGAGGGCCTTGTATGCGTTTCTGTGTGTGGAGTAAAGGTGATCTAGAGATTTTTTCCCGCTAGTTGCACAGGTGACATGCTGGTAGAATTTAGGTAAAATGGATTTCAGTTTTCCTGCATTAAAATCACTGGCCACTAGAAGTGCCGCTTCTGGATGTTTATTTTCTTGTTTGCTTATGGCCCTATACAGCTCATTGAGTGCGGTCTTAGTTCCAGCATCGGTTTGTGGTGATAAATAGACAGCTATGAAAAATATAGATGAAAACTCTCTTGGTAAATAGCATGGTCTACAGCTTATCATGAGGTATTCTAACTCAGGCGAGCAGGACCTTGAGACTCCCCCCCCCCCCCTATCGGACTCTGCCGTTCTGTCCTGCCGATGCATTGAAAAACTAGCTAGATGCACATTACCAGTCAAAAGTTTGGACATACCTACTCATTCCAGGGTTTTTCTTTACTTTTACTATTTTCTAAATTGTAGAATAATAGTGAAGACATGTGAAATAACACATATGGAATCATGTAGTAACCAAAAAAGTGTTAAACAAATCAAAATATATTTTATATTTGAGGTTCTTCAACGTAGCCACCCTTTGCCTTGATGACAGCTTTGCACACTCTTGCCATTCTCTTAACCAGCTTCATGAGGTAGTCACCTGGAATGCATTTCAATTAAAAGGTGTGCCTTGTTAAAAGTTAATTTGTGGAATTTCTTTCCTTAATGTGTTTGAGCCAATCAGTTGTGTTGTGACAAGGTAGGGGTGGTATACAGAAGATAGCCCTATTTGGTAAAAGACCAAGTCCATATTATGGCAAGAACAGCTCAAATAAGCAAAGAGAAATCATTACTTTAAGACATGAAGGTCAGTCAATCTGGAAAATGTAAAGAACTTTGAACGTTTCTTCAAGTGCAGTCGCAAAAACCATCAAGCGCTATGATGAAACTGGCTCTCATGAGGACCGCCACAGGAAAGGAAGATCCAGAGTTACCTCTGCTGCAGAGGATAAGTTCATTAGAGTTAACTGCACCTCAGATTGCAGCCCAAATAAATGCTTCACAGAGTTCAAGTAACAGACACATCTCAACATCAACTGTTCATATGGGACTGTGTGAATCAGACCTTCATGGTCGAATTGCTGCAAAGAAACCTCTACTAAAAGACACCAATAATAAGAAGAGACTTGCTTGGGCCAAGAAACACGAGCAATGGACATTAGACCGGTGGAAATCTGCCCTTTGGTCTGATGAGTCCAAATGTTAGATTTTTGGTTCCAACCGCTGTGTCTTTGTGAGACGCAGAGTAGGTGAATGGATGATCTCCGCATGTGTGGTTCCCACCATGAAGCATGGAGGAGGAGGTGTGATGGTGTGGGGGTGCTTTGCTGGTGACACTGTCAGTGA